GAAGAAGACAGAATAAGAACAGTTGGCCCAGGATCGGGCGTTGTCTCTTGTTCTCTGTCTCGCTCATCACAATGGCGCAGTCGACGAAGAAGAAGTCTTACGTCCCGGCTTCGTCATCCAGGACAGCCACGATAAGCGCCGCTTGAGGACGGCTTCAAGGCCTCCTCGGCAGCTGTTCACCTGCCGCCACTGCCACCACTGTTCGGGGACGGCGTCAAGGCCTCCTTGGCGGCTGCAGTACACGCGTTTTTCGCTATGGATTCTGCCGTCAGCGCAAGCCGACAAGTGAACCCTCAGCGGGAAGCCACCGGTACGTGTCTTCGTGGTTCGTCGGCAGTGCGGGCTTCTCCATCCAGGAACGCCGTTCACGCTTCTTTGGCGATGGAGTCAACAACCCGGCCGCCGCTTCAGCTGCCCATCGGACCATCAGCGGACGGTGTCCATGCCTCCTCTGTGGTACCAGGGCATCACCCAATGGACACTATGCTACCACTTCGCGGCTGTAATACACACAGGCTCCTGTCCTTTGGGAGTGCTGTTCAAGCTTCCCACGGCCTGCATTCCCTGTCCGGAACTCTTCCAACACATGAGCCGCCAAGAAACGCTGTTCATGCTTCCTTAGACGTGCGTGTCACCACCGTGAATACTACTAGAACCACGTACTTCACGGACGCGAATCAAAGCGGTTCAGAAGCCTCGTGCGACAGTGCCGCGGCGTATCAGTCGCACTGCTCCGCGCCGAAACTAACAAACTGACTGTGTTGATCGCCGAGCGAGCTCTACAATGTTGCCAGAATTGTGTGACATTAACACAGTGTTGGATGTAGCTGCCTCATACAACCTTGAGGCAAGCACACCGAAGCAATGCAGGGAGCTTCGGTCTTCTCTGATCGAGCTCTCACACCAGCTCGACTGCTTCGTGTCGGTGATCTCTGCGTTGCCACCTGCCACCTCACAATCACCAGCCGTATGCGAACTACCGGAATTTCACGGGGTCCGGAACGACGCCGCCAGCTGGGTGGCAACCGTCAACGCGATAGCAATGCGCGAGGCCTGGATGGAATCTCAGAAATGGACCGTGGCTGTAGACCGTCTTCGGGAAGGTGCAGCGGCATGGCACCGGTATGAAGGCTTCAAGCAGCAGTTCTGGGTGGAGTGGAGCTCCAAGCTCATAGCTGCCTTCTACTGGACACTCTCCGATCTCCCTTCCACCACCCAGTCCAACCTGACCGGTACCGAGAATGGAGTTCAAGAAGGGTTCCATCTCGAGGCTCCAGCTGAGCACTCCAGTTCTCCACATGAGCTTCCAGACTCGTCGCTGGTACCGGACCCAAATTTGTGGCAGCCATCGGCCACCCCGTCCTCTGTCGTGGGGGGAGGGGCACAGGGTAGCTGGACCCTTCGTCAACGCGCCCACTACCATATATCGAGCACAAGTGGGGCGGCAGCTTGATGTCTCATCGCAGTCCTCCAGTCTGACAACAGGCAACAAGACCACCCTCGAGCCTCAGCAATTGGCATTGCGGCCTTCGAACCCGACACCTCCTGGACACGTGGAGTCGTTCACCCCTGTCCTGCCGGATGGGTCACGACATGAAACACCCTACCTGTCTACGATACCAACAGTTTCCAGTGATACCAGCGAGGAGAGCACACTCCGCGATCAGGCGGTGGGGGATTTGCCTACTATCAACAGTCATTGGACGAGTGTGAGAGTAATTCACTCAATCAATCCATGTCTGCCGAAGACAGATTAATGGACTATATGCCTGTTTTATCCGTATTTGCCCACCACGCCTTGGCCGACGGTAGTGATGCGCCGCAAGCAGGCGAAGTCAACATCAGCACTTCCAGCCTCCCGGCGTACAGCCCTACTTGGGATCACGGGCAATGCAATATGACTTTGAGACCATCTGAATGCCGTGCGGATCACCAAGAGGAAGTGTGCGTTGAGGAGGAATCGGAGATAGATCGGCTAGCCGGTGACCAGCTCGCACAGAGCAGTGAGGTGAGGCCTTCGTACGCCCCTGGTGTCTGCAGCATGACGTGAAGTTATGGTGGCGTTAACTTGTATGGACACCGCGGTACAGAACAACCAAGGAGCATCTTGATTCCTTGTGGCCGCAGAACAAGAGGAGCCAAAGATGGCAGCGCAGAGGCTCCTGCGTCAAAGCAAGATGGCCGGGAATCGCAGCCTGTCTAGAACGCCGACGGGAATGAAGACCAGTGCGCCAAACTGCGCCAACTGCATTGCCTGCTGCTGCGGCCGCCTTGAGACAGCCAAGGTCGTCCACCAGAGTGTTTGACAGCCCCGCAAGGCAAGTCATGGCGTCCATGAGAGAGACCCCACAGACAGCCAATACCGCATGCCAGAGACGGTATTGGCAACTCAGGGCTCCGGGCATGCGGGCCGAAGACAACCATTGCGAAACACTCAATGGCATCCACTAGAGCCGTCGTCGCCTGACTTTCACAACAAGACACAAAAACCGGCACGACAAAGTCAATGGCGTCCACCAGAGACATCATCGCCTTACTTTCAATGCAAGACGCACCGTGGCCATGAGCGGCCTATGCGAGGCAGCCAATGCCGCCCACCAGAATACACACTGACAGATCTTCAAGCAGAGGCGCACCGTGGCGTAGACCAACCGGCTCGAGGCAGCGAGTGTGTACAACAGAGACGCTTCCCCCAGACCGTCACTCCATGTTGCATTGTGGTTCAAGACGACCACCACGATGCAGCCAAGCCCACCCAGCAGAAACTTTGCCGCCAGCTCCGTGCGCGCGCATTCATGGCCGAGTGTCGAGACGAAGAAAGACGCTAAGGCTCGAGCGCGTGGGCAGCTAAGGGAAGGTAGAGGAAGAAGACAGAATAAGAACAGCTGGCCCAGGATCGGGTGTTGTCTCTTGTTCTCTGTCTAGTACATTACAACAGCAACATCTTGGCTAAGCATGAATGACCAAGGGCACTCAAGCACTAGCAGGGGTCTTCCTATTAGGATTTTAAGACCACGACTTCACACATAACGGATAAACAAAACACACAAAGAACATGAAAATGGGCAGAACGACAACTTGTTGCCATTGCGAACATTACACATGTAATACACAATGCTGCCACCTACATTGCACGCACTGCACATGCAACGCTTGATGGAAAGAGTGGTTGCAGCTGTGACAGCCCATGCATTCCCATTACGGTGGAACCATTCCTTCAAGATATTTTCGCTCAAATAAAAAGGTGTGATCTCACTCTCTCCACGAACTTACGGGGTTCAGTCAGCCAACTCACAAATAATTTTATTAGAAAGAGTACATATGCTTAAATATCACCTACAACCATGCGTTAAATGGCCAGGAAACGAGCTCTCGGTCCAAAATTTCCAACAGATAAATAACTGTGCATTTGTACAGTGTGAACACGCTGCAACAAAAGCTTTGCGAATACTAATCACTGTATTAAGAATGTTACTGAGTATACAATGACCCACGTTGACTGGTCCCGGTTTCTCGCTTGTCCTTCCCACCCTTTTTTGCAGGGGAGAGAGCTAGGCGTAGCCCTTTGTTGCGACTATGCCCACTTCGTCAACGTAACATGATGTCAACAATTACGTCATTGGGGCACACAGCCAATAACTGAGCAGGGCTTCCCCCACCCGTGCACGTGTCATAGCGGCGGGGAGAGAAAGTGCAGTGCGAGACACTGGTGAGGCATGCACCTTTTTTCCTTGATAGTAAAGTAACGAGACACCTCTTCATTTCCGAAACTTTGTCCCGGTGAGTCTCAGGCTCTACAAAACAGCTGAGGGCGGCACAGGAAAATGAAAGTGCAGACTGCACGACCAAAACTGCATCGCCGCAGGGCCAAGGCGCCATTTCGTAATGCAAAGGAACAATCAATAGGCTTAGTACTAGTACGAAATTTTGTCCATGGGCAAGATTTCATCAGTCTTGGACAGTCTTCACAATTTATTGGGAATGCCCACATTGGGAACATTGCCAACATTTGCTCCGAGATTATTTCCTAGTCTTATTTTTATAATACTGCGGACAAAAAGTCCAAGCAGGGTGAGCAATATACATGCACTACAAACTTAAATCACAGAATGAAATGAGGTTAAAATGCGCTTTTTCAACAAGTTTCTTTGGTCATAAGAAAGAGGATGATTGGTGATAACAATAATCAGAACATGGCCTTCATGCCTGCTGCCACATGAATGAATGAAATCAAAATTTCTTCAGTAGCAAAATTTAGAGCAGAAAAGGCTAAAAAAAAAAAAGTATGCTGTCAACATAAATACGCCCAAGCCTTGTAGTGTTGTCAAACGGAGATGTGTTCCCGCAAACATGGTGTGTCAAAATAAACATGATGAGCAATCTCGATGCGCTTTGTTTGCCACGATAATGTCAATGCTTAAAGCATGACAGATGTGATATAATAAATCTCAATAATAGCATCTTCAACGAAGAAAAAGTGGATACTGAGGCACTACATATCATATGGCAAGTAAGCTTTGTGGAAATTAAACTTGATGCCGAATAATACAAGGTGACGAGAGGAGTTTTATCCACCTAAATGTAGAGTAAGTCACAAAAGATACTTGCTCATAATGAATGCTATGCAATCGAAGAAAAAGTCATGTTTGAATAAAGATCAACCTTACGATCAGTGCCTTTCTGAGGCAGTTGCTCTATCATTCAAGCTAACAGGGAAGTTAGCAGTACATTGCAAAGCTTCGCAAAGAAACTTGGGTACTCCTTACAGTTTTGTGCTACAAGGTTGCTGGTAATGTTTGCATTTCATAGGACACTTGAATTTTGTAGGTTGAGAAATAACAATATCAACTACCAACTAGTCAGAGTTATTAGAACAATAATTAACATGCTGCCCTGTTCAAGCTAAATGCTTCAGCTCCGATTAGAGGTGGTTAGCTAACACGGGTAGTTAGAGTGCCTAAGATGGCACAGAAGGCAGTTTGTGTAAGCTATCAACTCACCTGCATGATGTGCTCGATGAAGACAGAGTTTGAGTCGGATATAATGATCACCTCGAATCCACCGGCCTTGTGCAGTTGCTTAAGCAGATCAATGATGCCATCCACAAACTTGATCTCTAGCAGGCAGTCTAAAATATCATCCGGCTGCACATGACTGTCGTACAAGAAGAGGAACACAGCACGCATGAATGGAGTCCACCTGCAGAGAAAAATCAAACAAAGGAAGTGGTGATAAAGTGTTTTTTCGAACAAATGCTGAACAGCACCTTTGTGTTTTGTGCAATTATAACAGTTGTCGATCAATGCAATGTGTAAATTCTGACATGTGTTGCACACTTTTTGGAACATCCTTTCGAGATGGAGGGCTTGCCATGGTCAAGCATTATAACTATAACAAACAAAAGTATAATGACAGATTTCAACTGTGGCAATAAGCATATTACCTCAAATAACACAAGTAAGACCTGTGCCACCTTTGCTGGCTGCTAACAATAAAATTCACTGCACACTTACTCTGGGAGCTGAAAAGCTATCAGACATAGCAAGCCCTTGAATGCAATCGAAGATAAAACACTAAACACACAAATATAATAAATAGCATATAATGTAGTCAACAATGCATTTCAAGTTATTTTGCACATGTGCAAACAAACTTTCGTGAAGCCCTCCAGTAATGCACAAGGTCGATATGCTCAGAGTAGTGACAAGGTGGTAGGCGTGCATAAATTTTCGCGAAACAAAGCACGAGTGGCTGAATGTACATATTATGCAATGCCTTTGTTCTCAGGAAATTCTATGAACCACCCAACACCATATTGCCTCTAGGCAAGACGACTGCACCACAGAGAATTTTCGGAGGTCCAAAAAAGCTCACCACGGTTGCAGTACTGTGCTCATGAATTTACGTAAGCTCTACAGTTTTGCTGCGAGATAGCATGCAGGGAAAATGACATTACATACAATGTGTGACGGACACATTTGTCAAGTAATTGCTGCAAATACAGGTTCATGTGAAGAGCGTTTTCATCATTTGCCAAACAAAATTTATACTAGTAGGACAAGGAGTTAGTACTTTAAAAATGAATTTTACACACAGTGCATAAGCTAAACTCAATGCTAAATCTGTCATTCTCCACAGATCTAGTCCACGTAATGTCAAGACCGAGCTGTATATCTTCCATGATTACTGTTCTTATCTATTGACTAAGACGACTCCAAGTAGCAAGCAGTCTCCTTTTTCTTCAGTCATTGCAATGATTTTACTCCACTTTGATTGGTCACCCTGAAACTGACGAGGTGCCAACAGTATAGTTGGCACCTCGTCAGTGGTATAGTTTGTCACCATTGCTTCAATGTGACCAGGACAGGAGTGGCCAACCCGACCAGCACCTCCTACATCTTTTCAGCGCGTGTGCAAATGCTTGCTCGTCAATGGGAGCCATTCATACACCTCAGTTCAGGAAGCTGTCGTGGTACTATGCCAACTAAAGGGTATGACTGCTAAGTCACATGTGCACCTATAGGGATAGCAACATCCCTATAGGGACGCAGTAACCGCACTGTCCCTCTCGTAAATCAAGTGCCTGTCAGACTTGTTCCTTCATACTCTATTTGTGGCTCAAGACAATACCACTCCCAACGCACAGTGCTAATATGGCACATTTTAAAGCCAGAACGTGCAGCAGCATTGCAGACACAACCCCACATATTGCGCATGGCAACACACAGACATGCCAATTCAAAACAATGCGTCTCTTAGACAGCCAGTGTGACAGCCAATATAGCGATCTTAAGGAATGCAAGAAGCTGCCTCATTAACGAAAATATGATTAAACAAAAGATTACCTCCCGACTTCCATCGTGAGGCACCACCAAAAAGGTACCACCCCCCCATGAGCGGAAAGCAGGTGCGAACATTTGCCAACGAGGGAAAGCAGGAAAGGATGATAGGAGAGGGTGGTGAATGCTTGAATTGGATGCATCTGACTGGCATTAAAATAAAAAAATCGTCACAGAGTCCCTTGTGCATATCTGCAGTGATTTAGTGCATATTTATAGAGATGGGACCAGACGAATGGGATGCACACATTGTGAATGTCCCCTTTGTTTTGTCCCGTTGCAATAGAGCACTTCAGATATGTTCTCTATTTTATTTATTGCAGGCATCAGTCCAATGAAAAATAAAAAAAAGATTTCCATGTACAAGGGAAAGGTAGATAAATATGAATGGATATAATAATTATACATTTTTAAATTGCACAAATTGTTGGCCTTGTTTGTACAAAAAATATGTTGTACCAACAAAGCCAGAAGCCATCCTTTCCTTTATGCTGCTGCCCAAGATGACTCGAAGGTGAAAGCAGTCTCCTTTTTCTTCAGCTGTTGCAATGATTCTAACACACCCACCTCCGAAAGTGTTCTGCACCTAACATGGTTTTGTGCAGCCTCCAAGATTGGAGATGCTGTAAGCTTCCTGCACCTCACCTGTTTTGACACTGCCTCCGTGATCAGAGAGCTGATCACAGAGGCAGTGCAATGCAACAATGTCATGTGATGAAGTCATAGCAACGCCATGACGACACCACAAATTTCACCTATTTGTGATGTCATATGGTGACATCATGTGACGATGATCTATTGCGTCACCTGCCTATGATGTCGGTCCCCGATTTCGAACACTGATGTTGGTCAATTTTCGCATTTGATGATGCATCTGAGACTTTTGCTTTAATAGAAACACCGACCAGGCTGTCTTAACACGCCGATAAAGCAAACAAACTTTTCCCGTACTTTATTGCTTTCGTGCAGGGCACATTCTTTTCGTAGCAGTAGTTCAAGAATGTATGACCTGGAATGCCGTTTTGAGGGCCTGAGTGACTTATGATTTTCATCACCACTCTCATTTACGTTTCATATGGTTTAATTAGAATCTTCCGTTGCCACCAGCAAGTAGCCTTGCAGCCTGCAGGGTACCACAAGCTAGGCATGCAACCCTAATCGCAAAGCTAAGGAAACTACTGCTTTAAAACTAAAAAGTTTTTATTTAATGTATACAAAACTTAATGTATACAAAACAGAGAGGTAAATCATAGCTAAGACAGCATAGATGTTCTGAAAAGTCAGTTTGAGTGCTTTTACCCATTAGGGGTGTACCGCTCCTTGATTTCTGGAGGTAGCTCTCCATTCGGCGCCAGCTTCTGGATGTACACATCACTGTTGGCATCAATGATTGTGTGGTCAAAGTCGAAGACTATGAGATGCTTCCTCACCACCTTGCCCTGTAAAGGCAATGACGATATTATCAGCGGCACTCAGCATGATTAGATTTCTCTGCAAGTGAGGTTCTTATGTGTTGGGTTTATAGAAGACAGCCCTTTACAGCACGCAAACACAAACTCAATGAGTCTAAGACCCGAGTGTTTTACTCTAAAGCTCTGATTGATATGTGGGGTTTAACGTCCCAAAACCACCATATGATTATGAGAGACGCCGTAGTGGAGGGCTCCGGAAATTTAGACCACCTGGGGTTCTTTAACGTGCACCCAAATCTGAGCACACGGGCCTACAACATTTCCGCCTCCATCGGAAATGCAGCCGCCACAGCCGGGATTCGAACCCGCGCCCTGCGGGTCAGCAGCCGAGTACCTTAGCCACTAGACCACCACGGCGGGGCTACTCTAAAGCTCTCTCTCCCCAATACAAAGTCTAGATTTTTTTTTATGCCATTAAATAATAGCTACATCAAGCCACACAAACTATGGACAGATTTCCTTATTCATTCAACATTAGTATAGGGCATTTCAGTCATATTTTTAGACAAAGCCTGGGTACTACAAAACACATACCTATCTCCACCATTCTGTCATGAATGACAAGTTCTCAAAAAATGTTTTTTTTTTGCCTAGCTGTAATCTATGTACACAAGTGAGCACAGTTAAATTAACTGAAACAGCACAAATGAGCAGAGTGTACAATTTACACAGCATGCTTTTATTTGTAGCTTCAAGTACCGTTGCATCCACTGGTGACAGAAAAAAAAGGAAAAAAAAAAGAGCCCTAGCTTTAAGAGTTCACAACCATTTTTTTAGTCTAAGCTCACAAAGCAGTGGCATCGTAAATTCCAGCAATGAAAGAAAACCGATTGAACAGGCTGTCTCAGCTAAACTACTCAAGTGCACTTACATTCAGCTATACAACCGTCTTCCACACAGTAAAAAACTTGTACTGACAGATTTGGGGTAAGACATGTCCTTTAGTGGCACCTCATGTCGATCAAAAGAAAAACCTTTATTGAACAGCACACCAGTTTTTGAACTGCTACACTGATCATCTGATCCGTAAATTGCCTCTCCTGTCATCAGCATCCCATAAAAGAAGACCACAAAACATGTTTAACAATGCTGGATGGATTCGAGAATTTCAGAATTGGGTGCCAAGGTGTCAAAATTATCGGGTAAACATGCCATTTTTGTACACTAACGTGCATCTATGAGTGGCTAGCATTGACGCATGCACATTCGTGACAACTCCAGGGAAGTGCATATGCAAAGCTCTGTATACCCAATTTTAAACCTCTAATAACTGATACGGATTAAATGTAGCCACAAAGCTGCGAATCCATATGGCACAATGCTACAGGTTGATTATGGCTGCATGACGTCCCTTCTTAGGGAGGTCTAGACTAAGATGTCGAGGCATTACATGACACTCCCACTGATACACGATGGACGTGCTGCAGCAGCAACTAGGAACTGAATCGGTGACCTTACGTGCAGCAGGACTGTGTCATATCATCATTCAGTGCACTGACCAGTGCTTTTTGTTGACATTTACAAAAAATTGCAGCGTAAATACGCTACTCTGCTGCAAAAACAACCCAAAGCTTCCTAATGCAAGACATACTATGACACACAAATGTAACCCATTTGCGGATCTACACTTTCGCTACTTATATTTACCAAGGGAAAGGAAAAGTTAGGCTCACATCTCACCCTTCAGCCAACCTTAGAATGCGGACGCTATTACAAGATATCACATTCAATCTGACAGTTACGCTTACGGCCATGGCGCGCACACACACACACACACACACACACACACACACACACACACACACACACACACACACACACACACACACAAAAGACTGTATAACAAGGTTTTTTTCGCGCTGGAAAAAAATGCTAGAATACTTCATTATTTTCTTTTACCTCGCCGAGCTTTTCACATTCGTCGCACTGTCAAGCGGCCTAACTTTTTGACAGCATCTATAGCATCGAGTGAGTTATCAAGAACAACCATTTCAGTGGAAGTCACCTGCGCAAAAATTTCGTAGTACACCATTATTTAGACACCGTGACGTCGTGACACCGTGAAAAAGACAGCCAAGCTGGAAAGCAGGGCGCCCTACTTCGGAGAAATGGACGCTCTGACTGTGTGTGAAAGTCCACAGGCACGTTCGCAACGCCGCTGTTCGCGAGCGCATCTTTTGCAATATAGATATGCGGAAACCTTCGATCGGACAAAGCGTACGGTTTCCGCCGGTATCGTGACAGCGGCACATCGCGTTCGGGCAACGGGCAAATGGATCAAGCCGCTATCGGCACCGGTCGTTTGCTTGACATTTCCGATGCCGCGATGCATGCACGCTGGCGCCACAGTGAGTCATTGCATCATTTACCGCTGCAAATCCCGAAACCAAATTTTTCAGTCTAACCAAAGTAAAGGAGAGAAAAATGAACGCACACACGAAACTGCTTTCGACGCTTCTTCAGATTTCCTTTGCCGCAGCGTGAGGCATGTGTCGGAGCCCACGGTTTGTCGCGGGCTTCCATCTTCCATCTCCAACGCTTGTGCTGTGTCTTCGCGCAGGGATGACCGTTTGCGACCGGCAAAGCCGCTCTCTGGAGGCAGCAGGATGACAATGGCACGGCTCGTCGGGGCCCCACAGGCGGACCGCCCCAATTTAACGCCACTGAGGAGGGTTTCTCGCTCGCACGACAGGCGCAAACGAGACCGGGCAGACAATTTCAACCTCCCACGGAGATTAGGAAACCAATTTCTGAGCTGGCCTATCGGTCCGCAGCGTGTACATTGGGCAAAGTCGGCTTTAGCACCGAGTCGTAAACAACGAAACAGCGCCTGACAACAGCTGATCCGTCGGCGAAGAGGAGGAGAAAAACGATTTGACGGTCCAGCAAGGCTTAGCCTTACCAACCTTACTGAGGCGAGCCTGTAAAACAAGCAAGAGTTCGCAGCAGAGGGCGCAGCCTGTAAGTACACTACACCAGACAATAGTAAAATTGGCGCTATACGTTCTCTGGTGCTACCTTGTAGCACATAAGTGATACAAGTGCGGCTGGAACATGCGGTCGCCCTACGGAATACAGATAGAAAACATGAAAATATGTCTATACTCTATTAGCGATCAGGACCACGACTTGATAAACTGTACAGGTAAGTCACTGAACTCTTATGAGCATCGCACTTGAACTTGAAATTAAGAATATTCCATAAACTAACGACAATGGCACGTAAATTATTTGCTGTGTGAAATGATAGTTCGATGACACAATATCCCTCGGTAGAGTCGGTGACGAAATGCGGTCGTCGGCGCGTCGATTTACTTTCGAAACTTAATTACGATCCTACGCCATCCACTTGTACAAGTACGAGCGACATAAGTTAACCGTAAATTACGCGTGTCAAAAAAACAGGTCTAAGTGCTTAAAACGCATACAGTAATCGTAGTTTGTTACATAAACCACGGAGGCATAAAACCATGGCTTTTGTCTGCAAGCCGTCTGCTGCAACGCGCCTAGCGCCACCTGCACTAATAAAAATGCAAAAATTAAATATTATTTTTGACATTTTATGTACAAAATGAATGCAATCCTCCTTTGAACTAAAAAGTCAAGTTTTAAAGGAGAGTTTTATTAAAATTTTCAACGTCAATTTTTTGGCATTTTTTTTATCACATTTGTCGTCTGCTAACGATTACTCGCACATGCTGTAGAGATCACGCGATTATTAACAGAAATCACGCAACTTTTAAGCTCGATCGTTTACTCATGGGTTGAAGTGAACTTCAGCGCCCAACCAACGAGAAATGTGGCGCACACCGGTAGGAGCGTGGAGCTGCATGTTTCAAGGTGAGCGCCCGCTCAAATGAGGTGCGCAGCGAACAAAAGCTAGAGCAAAAGCTACAACACCATCCAACTGTTTTCCTCAGACTCAAAAGAGGGATGGATACAGCTAGTTCTGCTCACCGTTTGCAGGACATTCCGTAGTACTCACCGAAAGCTTCCGCGTAAACGCGTTCTTGGGTGCCAGCTCCATTATCTGCAGACCGGTGAAATATGATTCATACTATGAAAAATGAAGAACGCCGACTCCAGGACCCGTGGTGCGAGCGTCAGAGCTGGGCTACGTAGTGCATGCTTTTCCGACTGTTGCTCCTGTAACCCGGCGTTCACCTGCCCGGGCAGCGATCCAATGAAACTGCGTCGGGTCTCCAGCGTCAACTTGTCGGCTCGTTGTTGACACAATGCGGAATACACAGCTCAAGGTTACACTTGCTCATAGCGGAGGCGCGCTACGACGATAGTTGTTTATACGCTATTTGCGGCTGCTCAGCGAGACCGACTGGCGCCTAGGCACTCGCGCCTCGACAAATCGCCGCCGCTGGGCTCTGACGTATGCGTGCGGTATGTATGTACGTACTACCCAGCGCGCCAGCAGGTCTCGCTGCAGCTGGTCGAACGTGCGCCAGAGAACAAATAACGATCGTGTTCGCGCTCTCGGCTGACAAGCGGAGACGAGATGCAACGTGGAAGCTGGCTGCGGAGCGCACGCTGTTGTTGGTTGCACGACACGCCAGCGAGCGCGTCTCGGATCCATTTGAGCCTTTGCTCTTTTCTTTCTCCGCCTCGATCGCGCAGCTAAGAGCGCTTCGGATTACCGAAACGCGCGCACGGGAAAACGCCGACTTCGCCACCCCAGCAACGACCACAGAAAGTGTGGCGTGCACCTGTGCTTCTGAATACGAGCATGCCACTGGCCCAGCCAGGGAAGGGGGTGGGTACTGGGCATTCATAAACTATGGTTGAAACCCTCCCGGTAAAGAAATTTAAGCTGATCTTACAGATGCATGCTTCGGTTATTACTTTTTCTCCTCATTATCTCTCAACCTCTTGTAATTAATGCTCACTTTAAAGGGGCAGATAGTCTGTAACTGCATATACGAAGAAGTTGTATTGCAGTAAAGCTTGTGTTGAAGCAAGCATATATCTTCTATATGTGTTCTTTGAAATTAAAAAGAGATTCGTAAAATCAGCCTACATCACACGGAATTGTCTATTCAAGTCTCACATTCTCCCATTGCAAGATCAATGAGCTTTTACCGAGGCAAAAACACCCAGATGATGTCTGCTGTACTAGTTTTCCTATACTTTGTTCAAACATCTACAAGAACCTTCATGGGAGATAGCCTGTGATTGAAAATACAACACAGTCAAACAGTAGAATTTTTCACTGGCATCGAATGGTCTTCTCATATAATAGTCATCTATATGCAGCGATTGAAATTGAAAGAGATTTGTAAAACTTAGCCAGCGCCACAGGGAATCACCTATTCAAGTCTCTCACTCTGTCTCAAAGCAAGATCAATGTGTTTTTATCTCATTGACCAAGCAAAAATATAAAAGTGATGGCTGCTATACCAGTTCCATACTATGTGAAAACCAGATGTGTACAAAGCAAACAAACTCATTGTATTGCAGTAAGAAAACTGCATGTTGGAGACAGCAAAAAAAAAAAAAAAAAAGCTATTCGCAGAACACTTTCCGATTTTTGTCCTGGCACGTTTGAACACCACAACGATTTCTGCGTACGAGCAAGGCAGACACTTCACCAAATTGCACCTATGATGAGGAAGATTCCGTGAAACTGTTGTGGTTGGCCACTGTGCATGATAGTGTAGCAATCAGTGGAGAATGATTGGAAAAGATCAACTGTACATTTCTTTTTATTCTGTACGTTCAAATGGAAAATGAGTGTAGAATCAGACTTACAAAGGCTTGTCCTAAAAAGATGCTGTCTCATTTATATATATAATACTGTCAGAAAAATTTTACAAGATACAAGAAAGTACAGGAATGATGAACAGTCCTGCTGCACAGCCTTGTATAAAGGGTGCAGAGATATGTGATAAGGCGTGATTACGCTGTCGTAGGCCACACTGCCGCATTCTATAACAATAAAAAAAATTATAAAAAGCAGAGAGAGAGGAATGTATATACAAAGGACTAAAGAAAAAAAAAAAACATTTCATGGGAGCAAAAACCGGCACTTACAATACGCACAGTTTTTCTTGATGGTAAGATTAATGAATGCGTAAATACATGCAACAAGCAGGTGAACAAATCAGCTGGCCACCAGCAATGTATGAGAACTGGACGTAAATTTTCTCCCATGATAGTAAATGTAAGGCAATGAGTTACACTATTCAATCAAACACCTCACAATTATGCAGATGAAAACATTCTTACAAACAACCTAGAGTTGGCAAGGCACCTGCACATCCTTTTGTTCCTGTTTGTTAGTATAGAAAAAAAAAAGTTTCTTTCGTCGGGTGTAAACGCAACAACTTCCTTACAAGCACACTACATGGCTTTCACAACAATACAAAATTGCATTCTAAATATACGATCAGCTGCACTTATGTCTGCACCACACAATAAACAGCACTGGACGCATGGCAGAGGTAGTGGTGCTTCCATTCAGTTTTGTCTCCTGTTGTCACTACCTCACATAAAAATGGCACGCTTTTCCTTTAATATCTAACTCGGTGCATCTAGCAACATGAATAGCGATTCACACCTGTTTGAAACAGATAGATTAGCTCGGGCATGGCAAAAGGGCGAGCCGCAGCAGTGTCGAGCTAGGACGGATGACTCTTCTGGTCCAGCCAACCATATCACGCACTACTTCTTGCACGAAATGAACATTTCCCATCACTGAGGTACTGGTAGAAAGCAATGCCTGTGCTACACACTCGTGTATCCTAGTGTTCACACAACATGACAATTAATAAAATAATGGAGACACAACAGCACAGAACGCAGCATTGGAACGTTCACACTTTGGAGCCAGGCATCTGCTGTCCAATGTCATGACGCGATGTGATGCCATAGACCTGTGACAAGTGGTTTGGCGAATTCCTGTAGCCAGCCATCGTTTGAACATGCGCCCGCGGAGCAGCACGTGGAACAGTTTTGATCATCACACCACCATTGCCACTACCGAGAGAACTGTGGGGGGGTAGCATTGTCTGTTGTGTTGGAACTGTCTTTGCATACACCATACGATGCCCGGCCACATGCGCGTGTCGTGGAAGTGAACTCGACTCTGTGGGTCCCATGCCATTTCTCTCCTTTTGAAGCTTCGAAGGTGTGCCCTGGACAGTCTCGTATTCAAAGTAGTTTGATGATGGGCGTTCTGAACGAGACCGATTGGACATTGGTGGTGGGGGCACTGGCTGTGACGAACTGCTGCACGTGGGATCTCGAGACTGTGACAAGAGCTGCTGCTGCTGTTGCTGCTTCTGCTGGAACTGCCGAAGGTGTAGTTGAATCTCGTTGAAGTTAACATAGTGGCTGTACTGAGTTGGGTCTGCGAGTCCGACACGGCTTCCCGGCCTGTGCCAGAAAATAGCAACGCAATGCAAATTCGCAAATAGCACAACATTGTAGCAACAACACAATGCATTATTAACTCACGAGAACACTAGCATGTTAATGTCATAAACTACTGTTGGTGCTACTCTGCAAGGTGGCTTTATAACGGTATGTAGTAACTTGGCACTCTACTGGTGAGTCACAAAGAATATATACTGTAGTCCAATTTATCGATGTACTTTAATCCAATTGCATATGGCTTTAATCGTAGAAGATATGTGACCAACAAATGTGAGATTGCACTAAATTTATAGCTTGCTGCTCAGAAAGCTAAATTCAAGTGGAGTAACCACAGGGTAATTCCGATTCTGAGCTCAAACTGGCTGTATGTTATCTTCAGTGAGTCACGTAGGAGGTTGTGAGACTATGTGAAATCCAGAGACTCGCATAAAAGGAAATCGATAACTTCGATAATGGATGTCCACTTCACAGTATATTTTGAGCATGACTAACATGCACCAACTGTGGCTGTTACTACTGGTTTTCCTCACTCACTTTAATCCGAGTGGCAGTTTAAATAATCCGCAAGCCATCGAAATAATGTGAGTACCAAGCTATTTATTCTATGTGCCAAACATTCAATTCAAGCACCAACATGTTTAATCTAAGCGCCAACTCAGGCCGCGTGCCAGTGAGTTTAATCCAAGTGCCAGTGGCTTTAATTCAGAAGCCAGTCAGTTTAATCCACGCCCCAAAAGCACATGGTTTGCCACCTTGTAAAGTCTAAATGTCAGAATAATGTAAACACAAAATTGCAGGAAGAACTTTTTGCTCACCTATACATGCTAGCACTTATAAAATGGAGTGCAGTGCTATTTCCCCTTAACGTCTTGTGTCGTAGTTTCAAATTTAATAAAAAAACAGTGCATATTAATTGTATTTATGGGTACTAAATGTATCTGCTCGTAGAGTCCATGTTAGTCTATGCTTCATTGCTTCTGCATTATTCGGGCTAATCATCTACACCATCGCATATGCAGAGACTCCTGTCGTCTGCTCAGCAGACAGCATTTGCCTGCTTGTTCGCTGAGGCGTTCGCAGTCATCCGCTCAGCCAGTTGAGAACGATGGTGATCGACAGACTGATATTTATTGTTCTTCAAATCAGAAATAACCATTTCAAAAACTAAACTTGCACTTATTTGGGTTCAAGTGGAATTAAGTTTTAAAAAAAAAGCATCAAAAGAGATAATGCTGTTTTCATGTAACAGACGACGCTAGTATTGCTGAAGCGTGTTTGCTTGGAACATGTGTGTTTCATCGAATACCCACAATTTTGTTTGAATAAAAAGATAACAGCTAAATGTAAAATATGACTTCCGTTGTCCACATCAGGATCACAAGTTTACATCTTATGTGGACAAAAACCTCTTCGAATTATTTGCAATTCACTCTGCCCTGCGAGGGCCTCCTAATTTCTTGATTATATAGTATTTGCTTTTGACCCATCGCTGCCCACGGCTAGGTTTTCCTTATCTTGGAATGCATTCCGACACTCCTATAACTATAGTCTGTCCTTCGCATTACGTGACCAGTCCAGGTCATGTAATGCTATACAAATCCATTTATGAGCTTTAATGACAAACACAAGATATTCTTTAACATGTTCCTGCTTTTTTTTTCTTTGCCACTAAAATAATTTCACCCGGGCGAAGCACTCATCTACAAATGTGTACATGGCAAAGTACAAACACGACTCAAGCGAACAACGGCAGTACTTTTTTTTCACAATTACTAGTGGCAATTACAAATAATAATGATTTGTTCTACCTTGTGACTAATATATTGTAGGAACTGCACTTCAATTGTACTGCTGTTTTTACACCCCGCATTCTGCTTTTTGTGCATGAATTAAACTGACTGGCACCTGAATTATAGCCGTTGGCAATTGGATTAAATTCACTGGCATGTGACCTAACGGAGTTGGCACTTGGATCAAATGTTTGCACATAGAATAAATAGCATGACACTCAGAGAGCATGACACAGCGTGACACTCAGAGCATTATTTCAATGACGTGCGGATTATTTAGGCCGGCACTTGGATTAAAGTGAACCTGCAGTATACTGGTCTTTATAAATGCACTAGTTCACAACTTTGGTTCTAAATATCGATGAAGTGCCCCACCAATGTTGAAACAAGAGGGAAAAGAAGCCTTACCGTTCCATTTCTTTAAAAATGTCAAAACTTTGTGACCTTGAGTGGACAACATCGCTCTCTCGTCTCTGCAGAGGGAATAAATAAAAAAACATCAACAAAAATAAAAGGTGATTTGAAAAGAGGAAGTTTTTTTTTTGCAATGATATATAAAAGAGTAAAATTTGCAATACACATGACAAAAGCAGTGCCACAGCAAAGAAAGAACAAGCATTAACAGCTGATGCAGCACGAACAAAAAGTAAGATAAAATAATGACAAAGCAGGAAAGCAACAGTGCATAAGGAATAGCTATTTGGCTACCCAGCGTATTCAAAGGTGCCCTGAAACACTTTTCTTGAAGCCTATGCAACATGCTGGAATGGATGCCACACCCTTCAAGGAATGCTCTACAAAAAAAATTTTTGAATAGGACCTCACGCAAGAATATAGATATATAATGAGTCCGACCTGTCATTTCATTGCCTGCTCTCCCTCAATTCATTGGTTCCACTTAGGTGACATATCCCAGGCTTTTAGTATAATACTAGCTCTTTGTTTATGGCCTGGGGTGCTAAAGGGCAACATGAAAAAGCATGTCGGAATGGAAGGAATGCATTAATAAGTTGCACTCTAGTGTTTTAGAAGACCTAAATGGGTCTATGTGGCTACAGAAGCTTTCAATCTTGAGTTCTAACTTCTAGTTGTAAATCACCAGCCCATGGCTGATCTACACATCATCGTGGACTTTACCACCAATGTATGAAGGGGCTAGTAGGCTCCTCATCACATACTCGCAGCAGCAGTGTCACAGGCTGAGAACCATTCCTTACGTTAAAACAGTCTTTCAGTGCCCCTTTGAGCATTCTCCACGAACATTCTTTAACATGAGTTCATAGTTTGTAACATGCACAACACAGCAAGCGTGCATTTTTTAATTAAAAGATTTCACTGCGAGCAAGTGCAATGCAGTTGTAAGGTGCTTGCACCCGAGTCATGCAGAGTGGAAACGGAGAGTGCATTGCAGCTGCGTAATGATGATGGTGGTAATGGTGACAGCGAATGCAGTGATGATACCTGAAGACCACGCGAAGTTCTCAGACTAAAAGATCGACCAAATGATGTGTTTCTCTGAGGACTGCAAACCTGCGCAAATGAAAAGACCGAGCGATGCAGAAAAACTGCCGAGTCATTGCCCTAGGTGTACGCAGCTTATCGCTAACTCTACAGTGATAGTGGAAACAGCTAAAAATTTGTTGAGGTTACCTTTTCAACCAGCATATGTGAAGTTCCAATACTCATTCTTGTGTTGATTGCCAAAGAGTTACAGAATGTGAAATTTCTAGATAATAATGGTCTTAAGTGCTATGTCATAATGTGCCTCTCAACGTGGTCCATTAAAGCCTGACATTTTAAGATTTCCTCAATAACAATTGCACCATAAGTATTGTGTGCATTAGGCATCTTTTTCCAAGAATTCTAAAAGAGTTTTGTCTTTCAAAATAACAATGTGAGATATTTTCAAGGGTAATTTCACTGCCTACAAAACCATTCTTTGTTGTTCACTTCCTCGAGCTTCTAGTGAGTGGAGAAGCTCTATATTCCACAAGATAAACAAACAAGCACACTTTTTTTTTCATGACTCATTTATGCATTCTTTACTTTGCTTACTGTGTCACTGTCACATCTACATTGTTTATGTCTAGTCTCCCTTCACAGTCTTTCATGACACTTCTTTTTCTTTCTGCAAAGTGCTTTAGAGTTTGAGGAAAGTATGAAAAATTGTAGCATCAACGTTGTGTCAGAAAATTTAAGACCCTTTCATTCATAATTTGGGTGGGAAAAGAAGAGACCACTAACAGTAACAGGGATTACTACAGAGAGGACACCTAAACACACAATTTGAAGAATAGTTGATATGTACATACAGATCTTGCACTACATACACATTACATATAAAAAATTTACATTCACACTTAAATTCTTTGTAGTACGAACAACAAGTTTTGCTTTCAAGCTTGATTAAAAGACAAAAAATTAGCATGTCATTTTCAATTCATGCATGTGAATTTGTAAGCTTACAAAATGAGAGGAAGTAAAGAGCTTGCTTAAATTGCTGGTGCTCACAGCAGTTTTAACCATTGCTGTTAGACAGCATTCATTGAATGCAAGTGATAGGATCCACGAGAAGAGAAAATATAAAACTTGAGTAACGCATAACATTGTGTATCACCTATAAACTCTATGTATGAATCTGGAATGCTTTATGCAGAGTAAAACGGAAAGGGCCTATTGTGGGCATGATTCTGTCCCACAACTATGATTGTAATCTCGCATACTTTATCATCACTGAGTGCCCTGTACTTTGCACTAACAATCTAAATTAACGTATACACTCAAACTTCATAATAACAAAGTCGCACCTGCTGCGAAAATGCTTTGTTATATTTGAAAATTTGTTATAAACATATATTTGCAGCACCTGTATCTATGACATCTATTCTTCATATACTTCGCTATAACCGATAATTTGTTATATACATGCTCGTTGTATCGAGGTTTGAGTGCAACGTTTTTCTCTGAGGCAAAGTGCAGAGTTTTCCAGAAAGACACGCAAGCCAGCCAAATGACAATTAATGCTGTGGGATGGAAAAAGACTCTCCAGAGGGAGCAAACCATTACTAACAGACGCTATGCATGAAGCAAGCATCAAATTGCCAGCAAAGCACCGGAATTACAGCAATTTACTTTATGCTGAAGTCCCACAATTTGAAGCTGTAGTATCGAGGGTCAGTATCATCAATCAATTATTAATTAAAAAAGAAAAGCAACCTTTAGTTCCCCACATTAAATAGAGGGATATTAAACAGGTTTTGGCAAGAAAGTTTTTTTTTTTACGAGGTTTTAGTGCACTTCTTTTATGTTTATTTTTCTATAAAAATTTAGGGAAGTCACATGCGTGCTTCAACTGAGCAAAAAGTTGAGCATACACTATTAGCAAATGTTGCTTCAGCTTCTTAAAGGGCCAGTAAACAGGCTCAGACTTTTTTTTACACCCCCCCATACAAGCTCGGCCATTCGTAGATTAGACCGCAGCGATAACGTTTTCTGAATATTACAGCACTACGGGCCGCGCAGAGCCTCTATTTCGAAAAACAATTCTCGTGCATCTTTCCTGCGCTGACCGACTCCCCTGTACGCGCAGTGACGTCAGCTCGGCAATCGGCGACGTAACGCAGCATGCAGCTTGCCGATTGGTCTAAATCAGGTGTGAAAAAACAGTAGTGATGTCAATGTCAGTTCCTGTCGCCACCCACAGCTACGAAACTGCCCCCTGTGTCTTGGCACTGCGATGAAAGCAGTGAAAGAACCAACCTCGCAGTTGTCGCATGCACGTGTACACTCCTTGTTCAACTACAGCACCTACGCGCATGTACCAACGTACTTTGCTCTTGACATGAGCAACACGGGTAAAAAACGTTGCTCTGTCGTCGGCTGCAAACCGAACGACTGATCAGCGGAGAAGCATCGGCACCGGGTGCCTGACGGTGGGGCCCAGCACGCTGCATGGCTGAAGCGAATTGGCCATCCAGTGACGTACGTCAGGAACCTGATCATTTGTGGTCGACACTTCGCACCTGACGCTTACACAATTGACCCGCGGCTGGTGTGACAAACGGTAAACAAACAACCACGCTTCGCAGCGAGCGGAAGTGCATTGCGACTGATCGAGTTCGCTGATGACGTCAATCGCTGACGTGCTGTCATGTTGCCGAAGTGGGTGGAGTCACGACGATGGGCTACGCCTTCCTCTTAATAAAGGGAGAAGGGGGGCGAGGCCGCACGAAAATTTGAAACCAGCTTAGACCGATGTTCTAACCCCGGTAACTTCTTTAATATAGCATGTATTCGCAAAGTTTCTGCAGCAGCATGTTCGCAAAAAAAACTGCACACATATCACTTTTTTTTAATTTTTGGACCTCAGGGCTGTTTACTGGCCCTTTAATAGTATTTTTTTTATATGCATGTGCACCTCCATGGTAGCCAACATATGTAATGAATGTTGCAGCTGTTGCATTTCAAGTGGCTGAATATATATAAACTTCGAGAATAGTGCAGTATAGGAAACAAAACAATAAAATATTTAATCCTAACAGTTTCGGCTGGTGGACCAGCCTTCTTCGGAGGATGTAAGTGAAATCCTCCGAAGAAGGCTGGTCCACCAGCCGAAACTGTTAGGATTAAATATTTTATTGTTTTGTTTCCTATACTGCACTATTCTCGAAGTTTATAACTTTCTTTACGGTAGCCGGAAGAAACTCTGATCATCTATTTCATATATATATATATATATATATATATTCCATTTCACCACTAGTAAGTCCATCTGACACCAGAGCTTGTCGTACCAATACGTAAGCAGTAACTGCGAAGTGACGTGGTGTTTTCTACAACGGTGGAGTCTAAAGAAAAAAACATTGGCCCCGTATCTGCAAATGTCGTCGAAAATGTCGTCGTTCACTGCAAATGTCTTCGAAAGATGATAGCTTGAGTCTGGAGAGATTGAACAAAACGTTTATTTGATGTTCTGCACAAGAAGATCGGCGAAAGTTATTCTGGAGGCCCTGCATTAGAGTGCCTCGAGCGTGCAGCGGAGGCGAACGAGCGCACCAAGTCACGTCACACGTGAGACACGAGCGCTATCTGGCAGTTATCCTGGAAAACGAAACGCGCGGCTCTGAGATGGGCGTGCGCGCCCGTTTTAGAGGCGACAAGGTGTAGAACGCAAGGCGACTGGTAGGTGCCACCACCGTGTCGTCTTAGCAAAGCGTTGGAAACACTTCTCTTTTCGTGCAAGTGTTGCATGGTCAGCGGCGCGTGATAAACGCTATGATCCTTAAAATAACTTATGTACGCCTTTTCTAGTAAAAGACGCATATACAGCATATATACGTGTTGTTATGGTGCCTTAGATATGCGCGATAATTGCATTTTAATTGACAATCACACAAGTATGAACGCTGAATCTCGAGCAACATTGGTGGGTGCTGCGGATGGGGTCGGCCGTTCGGGGTATCCGCTGGTGCCATTTAAAATGCCCGGTGCCGTTAATGGTGGACAAACAAACAAATGGACAGACAGACCAAAGTTTTTGCGTCGAAGGTCCCCAATGGAGCCTATCGTCTTAAAAAAGACACCCTATCAAGGAATCAGGGATGCCACTTCTTCCCCATGAACCTGTGCAAATTTAAATGCGTGGTGCAGACTCGTTCCTGCGCTCTCTTCGTGGGTCTTGTCTGAACGGACAAAACAAATGCCTCAATTATTTCCTATGTGGCCCGATGCACTCGAGTGCACAAAGTCATGCAAATGTGTGCATAGCTGTCACTGTCACTGTTATTTGCACATGATCATGTAAATATGGTGTCCCCTATCGCGCCCACGAAACATACTTTGAGAAGGGCATGGCCATTTGTAACATACGGTTCTGCGGCAATATCTTGGTGATACATAGGAATTGCCCAGTTCTTCCTCTGCTATGCTGAAACTTCAGAGTGTAATAAAGCTTTAGCACAACGTGTCCGAGCTACAGTGGTTTTACTTCATTTGTGTCTTGTGTGTGTGTGTTTTTTTTTTCGCCGTTCATAACTATGAATCAACACAAACTCGCTCAACTGTCAGTGTTAATGAAGTGTCCCTAATCCGATGCCAGCCTGTTGTGATTTTTTCTGCCGCTGCATGAATAAGGAAGAATGGCATTAAAAAGATGCTTATGGCTGAATGATGTGCAGAAGAGAAATAACAGCAATTCCACTTGGCAGCACTTATATCAACTTTGATTTTTATCAATAGTGATACGGGCATGAAAATGAGACATGAAGGGACATGCTGCCTGACCCATGTTGTAAAACTTGTTTGCATCTAACTAGCCCCGCAGCTGTGGTGCGTTTCCACTTACCATACAGTAACTGTTAGCCATTGGTTTATTACAGTATACACATCTTGCATACATTACAGATTGCGTTCGCTTCTGAGTAGTGTAACATGTCCTTTTTACAGTCTGTAAAGGTAAAAAATAGAAAAAGTCTGCAAATTAATGTCACAAAACATTAGTATTTATTTATCACAATATTGCATCAATAACTGCTTTTAAGACTTTTACCAGAACAGCTTTCTCATATTTATGCTACTGTAGTCTGTGCACCAGCCTAATGTTTTGCTACAGTGCCTAAAGTTGACACTACTGACTGATCCCAATCACTGTCAACAAACTTCTCACCCTTATCACAGTCATCTCAGGTCGCACCTCATGCCGATATGGACAAGTAATGAAAAATTTTCAAATGAGTATGAAATTAAATTATAAAGAGGTGTAACACCATGGATACATGGGTAATTACCACTTTTCTTTAGATATGATTAATTGTAGACCTTTACAACCTGAAACTGAGTGGCCAGTTTAAGGAATGCAATGCCTGAGTGGATGGCTCCATACGACATTGACTACCTGAAATCTTCAATTTTCTTAACGTAAGTGCTCCTCTATTTCAGAGATAGAAAGAAGAAAACACGGTACATAAACATGGGCCCCCCTTTACCATTTGCCTAATGATGGTAAGAACAGCGCAACAAACAAGGACTGATGCAGATAACACACAAAGCTCTAGTTTTACATTCATTATTTGCTTCCAACATGCCGAAATTTCACTGCATAATATCATTGCGTTCACGTGTGCTGTTTTTGTTTAAACAGCACGGAATTCAACATTTAAACAGCACGGAATTCAAAATAACCTTCAACTGTTTAAATAAAAGATCCTATTTCTTTTAAGTGTGCCACTTTTTGCCATGAAAATGTGAAACATTAGTACATACTGCAAATCTAAGCTGATTTTTCCATTTTTGTCTTCATACAAAACTAAAGAAAGAAAAGTAAATGGATTTAATAGAACAGTCATTGCATGGATCGAAGAAATACTGTAGATTTATACTGGTGCAATTAGGTCACCTGAGAATTCATTCTAATCTACAATAAATGAGGTCTTATTACTGTCACGCAACACTTGTCTTTCAAAGGCATGCCCTAGGTATTTGCTATCTCGGGTTGCATTCTTTAGATAGCAGGGAAACAACAGCTTTTCGCTATAACTGCTGCACCTATTGTGGGGGAAGGCCTGAAAGATAACAGGCAGTGATTGACAGGCCTTTGTAATGGCACAATAGAAGGCACGAACATCTGAGATAAAAGCTTTCTACAGCTGCTTTTGGTTGACGCAACACAAAGGAGCAACAATGAAACACAATAGTTCGGACAAATTTTTAGCCAACACCAGCTCAACAGTTATTGGCACTGCCTGCAGTATGAAAAGTGTAATGGTAAACCTGCAATAACGGATATCGATTCATCTGGGAACAGTCACAGTTGTCATTGTGATTATAAGTTGTGCTTCCTGCCCACTCTAGAACATCGTACGTGACGCACAAACAGGCATTGAGGCGATACAATAGATGGGAACAATGCCCGCAAGATAAATGACAGTTGCTAATCAATATAGTAGTTGTGATGCTTTTGGCTGATATAATCATACCATGTAAAAATGTGACTAGGATGAACTGTTACCGTAATTATGCACATAATTTGCACCCTCACATAATTTGAGCACTCCTAATATTTTGCCAGCTTTCCGGAAAAAAATATTTACTTGCATATTTCGCCCTCTCCGAGTCAGCTTGCCTGGTGCGCGCACCTTTGGACTTTTTGATGCTTCGGCCGGACGCGTGCCTCGCAGAGCAGACGAGCGCAGTCAAACAGGCCGCCAGTGCGAAGTCCCTGCTTCCGGAGACTTCCCTGAACTAGGGTTCCTAGAATACCGCACCCGAATACGAACCCATTGACGGGTCGCCGGAAATGTTCGAGCATTTGCCTCCCCTTATCTCCCAATCTCTACTGCCGCGATAATGGCGAGAATGCACGCTCACGTCACGGCACTGATGACTTCTGCATCGGAGGCGTGCAAAGCCCTGTCGCGCCAAGTGTTCCCCTCGTTCTCTGCATCCGAGCTGCAACGCACACTTCGTAAATTTTCGCCATCTGGCCTACGTGTTTTGATGGTTTCCTTGCGATGTGCTGCACTAAATATATATACAGCGAAATTTAAGCTCGCTGTTGTGAATTTGGCCGAAGGAAAATGGGAAGCGTGCCACCGCAAAGTAATTCAAGGGAACGTACTTCAACTTGACGACCTGGCACAATTGGTACGCTAGAAAGCAGAAAATGCGCGCTTGCTATTGCAAGTTTCCTGCCATTGAATGAGGCCCTTTCAATTATGTGCGGATGCTTAGTTCTTCCGGTATTCGGTGTTGTGCGGCCTAGTTTCTCCCAGCATTGTCGAAAGAGCTTCAAGAAAACACAATGGTTTCCAATCGGACTTCACAATCATTGATTCCCGCTAGACCGCAGGTGACAGGATCTGACTGGGTAAAGTATGCACTAATTCTTTCAAATATTAGCAAGTACACTTCGTTTATGCTTCAATTTATTTCTTCTTTTTTTAGAAATGTATATACTGCACACATTGAGACTATGGCACAATATTTTGTATGCTCTGGGGAAATCCCCACGTAATTTGCGCACCCGTGTTCTAGGGGCCCCAAAATCGGGGAAAAAATGTGCGCAATATATGCAAGGTCAATAGGGTATGTTTCCTCAGGAGTGACCACTCTATTCACAGGGCTACTGTCAAAAAGCTGAGTCAATAAATTTCTATCCAAAATTTTATTTTGCCAGAGCTACTAGTGATGCAGCAGTAGTTGAAACAGGTAAGCGACAGAAAGCTCCTTACAACTTTCGGGGATCTAATTTCTGAGCTTCTGTTTCTGTAGCACATTTAGCACAACAGCATGACAATTTAGTAATCATGGAACTGTTCACGGTAGTCATTTCTCGCTACTTCAGCAAGCCAGGGAGACTACGAACACGAAACAATGTGGTATATGTTCTTATGCATAAAGTTACTTCAAGGATACTTCAATGAAATGTTGGTGCACAGTGCATGTCTTTCCCTGCCTGCAACTAGTGTGCATAAAATCTGCATGAGGAACTAAGTATAACAATTTATCTCTGCCTGCCTCTGAATACCAGTTCTGCGTATGTTCAGATTTTTAGCACCTGTACAGCTACGCATTGTTCGCACAAAATCAAAGAATGTCTAGACTACAAGGAACCTTGATGATTACTAGAAACTAAGAAATAAGAAGCACACATACACTGGGCTTCAGATTAAGGACAATTCCGATCATTTGGAGCAAGAATCGAACCACATTAAAATTTTGTGTAGAGGTAGCATTTTGCAGTGCACTTCCTTGATTGATATGTGGGGTTTAACGTCCCAAAACCACCATATGAGAGACGCCGCAGTGGAAGGCTCCGAAAATTTCGACCACCTGGGGTTCTTTAACGTGCACCCGAATCTGAGCACACGGGCCTACAACATTTCCGCCTCCATTGTAAATGCAAGCCACCGCAGCCGGAATTCGATCCCGCGTCCTGCGGGTCAGCAGCCGAGTACCTTAGCTACTAGACCACCTGCGGCGGGGCCAGTGCACTTCTTTCATACCCTATTTGGGCGCATCACTTCTTACATACATCCAGAATATATTGCAACTACATGTTTTCTAAAGGCTGCAGGACCAGAGAAGTAACCATATTATTAAAAGACGCAGTAACACCGCATGTCATTTTCCAGGTGTGCACGGAGGTGGTATGCTATGTTGCAACAATGGCAAACACAGTCCCCACATATGTCAGATGACCAGCATAAATCAAAACATGTGAAAAAAGAATGACAGATGTGCGCTTTTTCAGACGCATACATCTGTAAATGTGGCTTTTTTATTCATGCTCCGAAATCAAAATTTGAAACTATACCATGCTTACAAAAAAAGTACAGATCTACTCGACCTTTTCCTTCCATGTAATTAGGTGTAAAAATGGTTGTAATCAGCTTTATCTTTTCTACTCACGTTTCAGTTCTAGGCTAATGGCCCTTCCAATCTATTCGAAACAAAAACGAAAAGCATTGCAGCCAAATATGATCTGTTGCATAATGTACTCCATAGTATGCTATTGTTGTGCTAAATTTTTCCATTTCCTTCTTTCGTGCGACATTCGGTAGTTAGCTATAAAGCAGGCAGCAGAAAGGGTGTGAGAGAGAGAGTATGTGAAGGGAGTATTAATGAGGAAAGTAAGCGCACCAAGGAGGAGAGGTCCCATGTGAGTGGGCAAAGTGGTAGTACCTTAGGGATTGCCCTCTGTGCATAGCCGCATGTGCCATAGGCAGGTGGCGGCAAGGCGTGAGGCACAGGCGGCAGAGGACGGCCTTGCTGAAAGCACAAGCACTGGACGCACCAGCACCACGGGTGGTTAGTAAACTTCCAGAGGTGCCAGCAAGACAGCCTCGGTTGTTATGATTAGAGCACAAACCCCACAAAAGCAACGTAATCACCATACAACAGAACAAACACAACAAACCAGCAGCAAAAGAACATGTAAATGACCAGCTATTCATAAATGAGTATCCAGCACTCAAACACTCCTATTCTGCATCGTTTTTATTGTTTTCAGAATGAAAGCATTGTGTCAAAACTAATAAAACTCATCAAACCTTGGAACACATCAAGTAATTTGCTTATTCCAAGGTAAGTATAGTAGACTCTTAGTAAACTGAAATCAGTTAAACGGAACTACTGCTTAAAGGGAACTATTGCCTTTACAATGCTTGGTTTTGGGCTTGTATTCTGCACATATGTTCACCTCTCAGTAACTGGAACGCATGTTAAATGGAACATATTTTCCAGGTACGTACCTTCAGGTTCCGTTTACTGAGAGTATACTGTACTTCATTTTTTTCTATGTCGTGCATGAAAAAGCTTTATAAGATGCATTTTTTTCCTGCACTATTAGAGATGTATATAAGAATACAGGTATGGCTTTCCATTAAAATAGACTGACATTCACCACAGTAAAAAAAAATGCAAAGCTATGAAACAAACCTTGGTCTTACTGACTTGTGGATTGCAAGTCCACATAAGCACCTACTGAATTAACAAATACTTCCACCTTTGCTATGTTGTGCAAATAATTAAAGAGGTCTGTATCCCACCAGAACAACATATTATTAGTTGTAAACTACAGTCTATAACATTGATTTACGGTTAATATTCACTGAAGTATTGCTTCAATGCTAAAGTACAAAACAAAGAAATGTTAGCTGCCAACTGGGAGAGTTCCAAAAAAGCTGCACACATGCTTTTAATATAGAGAAGCTAGAAAATTTCTAAACAGATGACAAGTGATGAGCTGTATTCTTGGCTTTGTGTATGCAACATTAAGCTCATTATAACAAAATTGCATCTTATACAAAATTAAGTTTGTTACATCCGAAAATTCATTATAAAGGTTTGTTCCTAACACTATATGTATATTGCAAGACAATTTCTTGGTTTTCTTCGTTATAGCCAATATTTTGTTATATCCAGGTTTAAGTGTACTTACATTCTTGCGCACTCATACAAACAAAGTTTGTCGACTTGACTAGTTTTGAGCTGCCAACATGCCAATGAATGCATCTAAATTTACACATGGAGGCAATGATGTCAGGATGTCCACTACGTGTATATACTATTTTCGTTGTCTAGTTTCTGTCCCCTGGTTTAAAAAAGTAGTGCTAAGTCAATTCTCATGACAGCGATTGACCAAATATAACACATCCATTAACTCTGCAAAACTCACCGGAGGCACGGGGCTGCGCAACATCTTGTGCTGCAGGTCTTGCTCGTACCACTCTTCGAGGTCGTCTCGAGGATAGTGGCCCTGTCGCTCAACGTGCCTCTTTTGGTGCTGGGCTCTTAGCAGTTGCATGCGTTCCTGACGTGATGCTGCACTTGTGGTGGTCGGTGTGCTTCTGCTTGGACATGGTGGTGGCGAGGAGACCGAGCACGGGGACTGCTGATGTTGGACGGACCCACGCTGTGAGAAAGACCACCCGTGAAGCAGCACGTTTCAACAAATATTATCACGCTTTCTCCCGTGGAGATAGATCAACATATGCCAGAAACTACATTATAGCCTGGCTAGCGAACTACTGGGAAGTTTTAAAAAAAAGCACAGCCAAGCATATTTGTAATAACAAAACCGTGTCCTTAAACTTTTGAATACCTTTTCTATTATTTTGTACATACGACTGGCAGTTTATACCCACACTTTTGTGTGTAATACTTTAATAATAATTTCAACTGAGATGTCTGTACCAGGATCCAGACACATGAAATTTCGCTAGTGCCGTTGCATATATCCAAGTACAGTAGACTTCCGTTAAACGGAACCTGTAGGAACCAAAAAATGTGTTTCGTTTAACAGAGTTTCGTTTACTGAGAGATGAATAAAGGTGGAGAATCCAAATATGAAACCAATCATGCTGTTCTTTCAAGCAGCAGTTCCGTTTAACAGACTTCCGTTTACTGAGAGTATACTGTATAGAAAACTTGCACTCGCTATATCCTGAGCCCTGGAAAACAGTTTGTCTGACAGCAGCGATGTTGCTTTGGAATGTCAAACTCTGTCATTTACTATATACAAATAAAACATAAAAGTGTGACATCCCTGCTATGTTGATAGAAAGTATATGAAAGTATATAAATAACACTATCACAAAATGTATATGAATAACACTGTCAATGACCTAATATGCTCACCTGATTCTGAAAGTGATGGTTTTGCTGGTATTGCTGTTGCTGCTGTGTTGGCAAAGGTGGCAATGGTGGCTGATGGGAAGGCTGCATGTGTTGATGTGATGGCTGCTGTCGCTGCTGCTGCTCTTGTTGCTGCTGCTGCTGCTGCTGCTGCTGCTGTTGCTCCAGCAACTTCCTGTACTGTTCTTGAATGCGTTCTTGTTCATCCCGTGCTGCTTGCCTAGCTCGCAAACGCTCTGCCTCTTGCTCAAGTTCTTCTCTGGAGAGCTTGGAGCCCGGCTCAGGAATTGTCTTGCGGTTCTTGCCAAACCTACTAAAAGCCCCCCCAAAAAAAGACGTACGACCCCAGAGTCAATATTTCCTGTCACTAAAACATGCGCATTAGTGAACATTTAGGTAAGAGCAAATGTGATAAATGATGTAAAACGATGTTTCTGAAACTGAGTATTGAACAAACAAGACATTCAAACAGTGTGCTTGGAAGTTTGAAAAAGAGAGCAGGAAACAGTGTCAAGAATTTTACATTCTGTTAATTACTTTGCATTGTCATGATTACAGTTGCAGTGACCAGCCGGTTTTTGAGTAATTGCAGAACCCTAGTGAAACATTCCTCTGCATGACTTCTTCATGCTCTAGTTTTATACAATGCAGGCAACCCACGTTGTGATTGTACAGTCAACCTACCCTACTGCAGCACCAACCATGACATATACCAACTACTGTGAAAAATTTCGTTTCGTGTATCAATCTCGTCACAAGTATTCCTTTTGCAAGAGAACAGAAAGTATGTGTTTGAATGAAGCAGAGATACATTTATTGAAACATTGCAGGAAGATAAACTACATTTATTTGAGACAGAAGAGTTAACAATCTTAGCATTACATACACATACGAAACTGTTACTAATTCTCACCACAATTCCTGTACTTTGGGTACATTTTGAAGCAGCAAGCCTAGTTTCTCAGGAAAAAAAAAAACACACACACACACAGCACATCTGCACTATGGACCCTTCCACTTCGGCCCACTGCACTCATGTGAAATTTGCCTCAACATGGCAATGTCACAGCAACATCAAACAAACATTTTTCTCACCAATGAGCTTAGCCATCAACGATGAGGCAGCCTGAGATCTATGAGTGTGTGTGGGTATTACAGTACGTAGAGAGGTCTAGCTTTCGCAAGCTTCTTTAGTTTGTCTTGCCCACATGCTTCTACCCACTCATTCAGTTGATTGGAGAGCTATACCGAACACTGAGTGAGCCCACATCCCATTAAAAGGAAAGAAATATCATCATGCGTCCTACCTTTCCACTATGGAGGCCTTCTTTAGGAGTACAGTCGAACCTACTTATAATGATCCCAGATATAACGATATATCGACTATAACGACAATATTTCAGTGCATTTATGATTTTTTTATGCTACCCGAAGAAACTGTGTCCACATATAGTGAACATTTTTCAAAGCCTCCCACAGTTACAACAAACACTTCCGACATGATCACGGTAAACATACAGCGCATAAAAAGCAAAAAAAAAACAAGTTGAAACTGGCATTCTAAAACATGTGAGAGGCATACAGGTTTTGCTGGTATTGCTGTTGCTGCTGTGTTGGCAAAGGCAGCGTGTGCCTCGCTGCAGTTTACTCGCGACGAAGATGTCACATAATAATTGATTGATATGTGGAGTTTAATGTCCCAAGACCACCATATGATTATGAGAGATGCCGTAGTGGAGGACTCAGAAAATTTCGACCGCCTGGGGTTCTTTTAACACGCACCCAAATCTGAGCAGATGGGCCTACAGCATTTTCACCTCCACTGCAAATGCAGCCGCCGCAGCCAGGATTCGATCCTGCGAGTACCTTAGATACTAGGACAAAGATGTCACGGAGCGTGGCGAGCTTAGCATGCAGATTTCGGATGCTGTGAGGGAGGTGGCTCACTTTCCATTCATTTTTTCACTGGCAGAGCGGCAGTAAGGGAAAAAAAAGAGGCAGCATGAAGACTTGCGGTCAGTTTTCGCACGGCAAACTTCTCTGATGCCTTTCTCCACACGTACGACCGCCGCCGACTAATGAAACAATGGTTTCGAATGCAAGAAGTCATAAATGCAAAAAGTGATAACTTTTTGTTAAGTTCACTGTGATACTCAACTCGCCGACACCACAATGTGCTGCGAAAGGTGTTCTGCCTTTCAGTAATGGTAGTGACCAGTTGATCAGTGATAACGACTACCGCACGATTGCAGCGGTGCTTTGACAATAGGCATATCTAAGAAGCGAAGGCGAGGTGGCCAGTGGCGTCGAATGTGCCATTTTGACTCACAGCCGACAACCCTGCCACACTCACCTGCAGATATCTGCTTGACTGCACATGTTTAAACCACGCAGAGTGACGGCGATACAAGCGCATCATGTTGCCATTCGCCGCCCCAGCGTCGTGCGAGGCTGCTTGCACGTAGCTTACAAAATTAACGTTTTCCTTGTGTCGAACAGGCTACCCGCCCCACCAGAGCGCGATACAAGGTGAAGCATGCACGAAGAACGCACGAACAAGCGCACAATTAGACTGCAAACAGCCTGGCATGCGAGGCGAAAGTCGAGTAAGCAGCCTGCTGCAAGCAACTAGCCAGGGATGATCGGTTGCGATACCTCGCTTCAGCGGAACGGCGCGATTTCGTGAAGAACGTAGTTTAATTCACTTGTGAATTGTGAGCACACAGCTGGAGTCGCTTAATACACAAAAAGGCCTAATCTGTCACTGGAGAGATAGCATTTTTTAATAAAAATACACAAGGTAGAAACGGCTTGGTTGCTAAGTGCACATTTTTAAGGGCAAGTCCATATACAACGAACTACTGATATAACGATCACTTATAGCGGCACTTTCGAGTTTATTACAGTAAAAGCTCGTTAATTTGACACCCGTTAATTCGGAAATTCGGATAATTTGGACAGGCCCTATTGGTCCCGGCCAAAGTGCATGTTAATCTATGGGACCTAACCTTCGTTATTTCGTCGGAATTCGGCTCCACACCGCTTAATTCGGACAAATGCTGACGGCTGCTGCTACACAAAAGCGTGATAAAGCAGCGCTGGCACCACTGGAGTGAAACCGAAACCTGAGTGGCATCGCCATCATCATCAACTAGTGGGGGTGATCGCAGCGTCACCGAACGACGGCGTCTTCTTTCTTCTCCACTCAGCGCCTCCGACGCCATTTTCTCTTGTGTTGTCCTGTTGGAACCATCTCTTCTTGCGGAGTTCTCTTTTTCTTCTATTGTGACCGTATTTGCATGCCACCACCATCGTGCGCTACAGTGATGACAACGCCGAAAAAGCGGCAGAACTACGGCGCGAAGAACTTGGCGACTAAAGTGGAAATTTTGGAAGCACTGAAGAACAGCGAATCGCGACAGCAGGTTATGACCAAGTACAACGTGAAGCGGAGCACCTTGGGAACGTACGTGAAAAATGAACAACAGATTTGACAAGCCTTCGAAAGTGAGAAGCTTCATGCCTCTAGAAAGCGGTTGCGAACCGCAGCTCATCTCCAGCTCGAAGAAGCTTTGCTCCGGTGGATTATTGACTGTCGCAACGCGCATCTGCCTTTGAGCGGACCTCTCATCATGGCGTAAGATGAGAAGTACGCTGCAATGATGAACATTGAATCGTTCAAAGCGTCAGAAGAATGGTTTGCGAGGTTTCGAGAGAGACACGCACTTGTCTTCAGGAGTCTGTGCGGCGAAAAGGCCAGTGTTGACGAAAGCGTGACCACTAAGTGGAGAAATGTGAAGCTGCTGGAGCACATCGCCGCATATGAACCACGTGACGTGTTCAATGCAGATGAAATTGCTCTATTTTTCAGAGCTCTGCCCGACAAGACGGTGACTTTCAAAGGGGACGCGTGCATTGGTGGCAAGAAGTGCAAGCAAAGGATAAAAAAAAAAAGGATAACTGTGCTTCTTGCTGCCAATATGACTGGCGTGGAGCGCTTGCCACTACTTGTCGTCGGGAAGGCGCTTAAGCCACGTTGTTTTAAGAACGTCAAAAGCCTTCCTGTCGAGTACACAGAGAACAGGAAGGCATGGATGACATCGGACATTTTTCGCGGCTGGCTGCAGCAGTTGGACCGGCACTTCACGTCGAAGGACCGCAAGATAATTATGGTTGTTGACAACTGCAGTGCCCATAACTGCACAGTCGAACTGAAGAGCATCAAAGTAGTTTTTTTGCCGCCCAACACTACGTCTCTGCTCTTCAGCCGATGGACCAAGGTATCATTTACTACGTGAAGTCGAAGTACCGCAAGCACCTGCTAGAGCGAATGATCCTATGCTCAGAAGCTGGAAAGTTCTATCAAGTGGACTTACTCGGCACAGTGCACATCATCGCCCACGTGTGGAGAAACACTCCGTCGCAAGTCATCGCCAACTGTTTTCGGCACAGCGGTTTTATGAGGCCCGAGCATGCAGCAGTAGCCGACGATGGCATCGAAGAGGTGTCAGCCGAGTCCACCGACGATGACTGCCCGACTTTCGATGCTGTCCTTCCCACAGATGTGACCTTTCAGGACTACATTGCGATTGATCATGGTGTCGCCACGAGTGGTCTCCTGACCGATCAAGAGATTATTAATGATGTCACGGGCGCCCATGATGACCACGATTCCGACAAAGAATCATGTGAGGAGATACAGCCGCGACCTCATCGCACCTCACGGAAAGTCTCGGAGGCGCTGTTAATATTAGAGGACGCTTGCCTGAACACTCTCGACAGCTTGCGTGCTGTTGGCCATTTGGAACAGTTAAAAAAAATTGTGATGTCAGCCGGAATCTGCACGAAAACGCAGACGACAATTACAAAATACTTCAACAAATAAAAGTATGCTTCTGTAGCTTGATTTTAAATGTTGTTTTCCCTGTTCATTCATTAATTCGGCATTCGGTTAATTTGGACAGTTTTTCCGGTCCCGTGAAATCCAAATTAACGAGCTTTTACTGTATAAACGGTTTGACTGTAGTTAAAACAATAAACGGTGTGACTGTAGTTAAAACAGCTATGTCAATTCGGAGCACACCCTATGGATCGTCAACATGTGACTAGAGTAATTAATTGAGGCAGAAGAATATGCAGTGTGCCACCAACCACACAGTGAACATGCACCATGACCTGTCTGCCAGAAACATGACATAGTGTGAAGCCCCAAACAAAGCCTGCAGATGACACAGCAGTGACACCTTAATGTGGAATAACCTATCAGGTGCTACTGATGCAGCGAACATTTTCCTTGTAGTCAAATAGAACATTTCGCCATTGTGCTTGCTCAATCATTAACAGTTGCTAGCTCATTGAAGCGTATATGTTTGATAACTAGAAATTGCCACTAGTGGCTCAAGCAGTGAGCACCATGTACCTGAAGACGCTGCCAAGACCTTTGAGCAACCCTTTCTTCCGCTGTGTCGGCTTAGAGGAAGCCGCGTCCTTGCTAGCATAGGCAGCAGCTTCGCGGGCATCCAAAGGCACCGTGACTGAATGCAGTGGACAGCTACCTCGATGTTCAGCACTTGTTGCACTGCCAGTCTCACTTTCCTTTTCTTCCTCCACTGCAGCCAAGGAGCACAAAGCAGCTCAACATTCCATACTCAAAAGCACATCAAATATTACTAGACCTAACCTTGGCAATTGTGTATGTTCAGCAGCAAACTGCTCTATGCAGACTTCGTGCTTTCAGTAGAACAAATAACTCGGATGTTTAAAAAATGCTGTAGTATGGATAGCCGACTGAGCCAAAGCATAGTTAACCTCCCTGCTTTCCCTCTCCATTTCTCTTTCTCTGTAGTATTTAATAAGAAATTCATATAAAAAAATCTGATAGAAAATATGCCGTAATTTATGACCTTACAATGCAAACTTTGTATGATTAAAAATACATGTAGTAAAACTAAAAAGAGTATGCAAGAGAGTTTAATTTCAGATACATCATTACAGCTCCTCACAACTCCTACAACACACATCTCAGTAGTAGCACCAGATGCCTGCTCCGTTGTACGTAATCCAAACATAAAATGGCAGTAGGTACATCCAAGAAGTCGTCGGAACCGTGTTTGAACTTTCAGTGATATGTATGGTTGAGATTTCTAGAAACACTGAATTCAAATGCTACTCTAACACATGACTTCATAGCTAAGGAGGTACGAGAACCCTACAAAAAATTGGCGAGGATCACATTTCCATTCCGTACCTAGTCTGCCCCATGCACAGTCTAGAGCATATTAAACATATTTTGGCATAGTGCTTGTAGGTGGCTAGAGAAAATAGTGTAGGAACAGTAAGTGACAACAATGTCTGTCCTGGTTTCTAAAGTTTATGGGAGGTTTAACAAACCACCAGTAGATATGCACATAAAGCAATGAAAGTATTGAGGGGGGAAAAGCAGAAGAGAGATGAACGAAACAGTAGACTATATTATATAACACAAAGGTAGCTTACACAGACTAGGTAAGTATTTGTTTCCACTGCATTTCAATGCCACTGAACATCCACTGCCGTCTACTGCATACTCACGTGTCTCCATCTGGTCAGCAGAATTCTGCGTCCCTGCGGCACTTGGCCCATCGTAAGAACGGTCGACAGCTGCGCGGAAGCTCTCGTTGCAGCCTCTGGCACCACGCTCTTGTCGAGGATTTTGTGACGTGGAAGCCATGACAGTGCCATCTGGTCCCTGCACCATGAGAGTCTGGAGACTTTCGAGGCTGCTCGACTTGCGCATGCCCAACGAAGGACCGACCAGCTGCACGGTGCCATTGCCACTGCCGCTGTTGTTGCTTTTGGTCACGGTTGTGTTGGTCGTGTGGCAGCTGGCATCTGTGCTTGGCGAGTCGCCATTCACCATAACTGCAGTGCAGTGGACAAGATTAATTACAGAGTAATGCTGTACATTTGGGACATGTTTGAACAAATTTGTAGACATAAAAATTAAGGTGAATAGATTTCCTGCATGACCTGACCGGAGATGTTTCAGTCGTCAATTAAATTACAGTTGTTATTTTGTGCTGAATGCTGTGTGCATAAACAGCTGGCTTAACTTGTCAGTGGACATCTTTTGAAAGCAGCTGCCGCCTGTGTGCCTCTTTGTATCTTGTTCCTACCCTTGTTTCTTAATTCTCTCACAGCACAACCAATCGTTTGATTGGTTCGGTGGGTTCACATAGCCAGCATTCGTGCACTAAAAATTGGCAAGGTCATGCCAAAATGTGTGGATAAAGCGGCGCACTTTTCAATGCTTTCCTCCATAGGCAGAGCTTGCTTACAGCGTGCTCTGCCTATAGAGAAACTGCTTAAACAGTTTCTCATGGCTCACAGAAGGTACGACTCACAGAATTATCTAAAAAGCACTAATTGAAAAATTACACAAGCTCATGCTCTGGATGACAGGGGAGGAAAAAATGACGAGTGATTAAAAAAAGAAACACAACCGCTGTTCTCATTTGCATGGAATTAAAACGGTCTTGCTCTTCGGAACAGGAACAATTTGATCTACAATCACACAGACTAGAGATTCCTGTTTAGCTTTTCTAGTGCACTAATGCTTATGCAGAAGAAGGTGCAATAGATGCAGCTTTATGTACAAAAAATTCAATAAAAGAAAGATTGATTGATATGTAAGGTTTAACTTCCCAAAACGAGCATATGATTATGAGAGACGCCGTAGTGGAGGGCTTTGGAAATTCAGACCACGTAGGGTTTTCTTTTTTAAAAGAAAGGTAATAAAATATTGAAATGCTTCTCAATAATACTCAGTTTTATGAAAATTAAGAAAGGATGCATTGCATAATTTTAGAACTGTGAAATCGACAAAATAATTTGTGTAGGTGCAGTTACAATTTTTGCAGCAATGGTAGAGGAATCTGAATGTTAGAAAAGCCCACTGACACTGCATTTTAAGTTGTCGATAATATTTCTGTAAAGGAGATAGGTGGACTCAAGAGACAGTATGCGATGAGTGAGTACAGCACAAAGGTTTCGAAGCTATCGTTTTATGAAACACACAGCAAAACCACTTCACATGTTGTCACTGGTCGCAAAGAACGCAACAGTAACGATCATAAAAAAAAAAACACTTGCACATAGCACAGTGACATTCGATAAGTTGGTCATGAGTTCAAATGCATGCAGTATACACATTCCAATTTAATTATAATGCCAGGCAACACAACACGCACAATCACAGGACGAACCAAAACACCCACAGTGTTTATGAGAGATATAGTGGCAATGTGTTTTAGTTTAGAGGAAGTCGTGCAAAGGCAACGTGCTCAAGTTGTCAACTGAAATTTTATTTTGAGACGAAGACAAACACAAGGCTGCACAACAAGGCCAACAATCATTGTAACCTGGTTATATAAAGCAGTACCGCCCACCAACAAATAAGTCAAAATTGAAGAATATGGTGAGAAATATGCACTAAAATACTAAACATATTTTACTTGATAAAGCAAGAAGCACGAGCATGCTAAAGGAGAGAAGGGACTGGGGGAGGACTCTACTGTACTCGTTGAAATAGCAAGAAGGTGTCGTGCCAACCAAATTTGTTTAATCTATCCGCACACTCAAAGCTGTCATATTTCGTTAACCTAGCATTTTAAGGCACCTTGGGTAGATCATGATGCTGTGGTAGATTTTAGAGACTCGTCTCATAACTACGAAAATGGAACGCTCTAGCAAATATATCAGTGCCTTTAGCTAGCAAATAAATGCTGTACTGCTCAGTGGCAACACAATCAACCAAGAGCAGCACTACAGATGTCCCCGATTTTCTTCTCATAATGCAATCTTTGGTGGATCACAAATTTAGTACACTGGAACAATCTTTCCTAGGGGTGCTTGTGGTGACCTAACAGTACAAGTGTGAAGAGACAACCTGGCATGCTACTTTAGTTAGTTTAAGGGACATGGTTAATTAAACAGCTGCAGGAGTGCTGAGGGTGCAAGTGCGAAGGGTGCAGCAGCATAGCAGGTGCATGTGAGGTGCCACAGAATTTGCATCAATGTAAGCTGCAGAAAAGCTGTTCAGGCAAATTGAGAGTGGAGGGATTGGGGCTACCTACAGCAACAAGCTGGATAGAAGAACAAGGGATTCCTATGCACCTTGCTCACTTGCTGACATTTGACTAGATCTGTTGGGGGAAACATCACACAGGAAAGAAGGCACCCAGATTAGAAAATGTTTTTCTTTACAGAGAGAGGACACTACGGAAGAGAGCTAAGAGCTGCAGAGAATCCCCGCCAGAAATGGCATCCTCTCCAAAAAAGGCATCAGCAAGGGCAAAAACATGGTAGACAGAGAGACAACTGTGAGAAATCTACTAGAGAGCTGAGATTCGTGGAAAAGGAGTGCCTCACCACGAAATTCTAAGTAGGTAACTTTGCATGTAGTACATTACTCTAGAAACATTTTTAAGACAGTGCTTTGCACTAATCCACACAGCATGCAAGTGTTCAAAATTAACACTCCCTTTTTAGCGTATTTAGTTGTTAGTGCCACATTTCCAAGTAGCACATATTTAAGGTTACAGTATTATTATTAAGATTAGTGCTTTTCACTCTCAAGTTTCATGCACACTGTGGTTACAAACCCGGTTAGCATGTCATGCTGATTACGGCAGTTTAGGCACTAGACCAGATGTGCAGGCCTCTGAAGAGGCTAGCAGACTCACATGTAGATTCGGTGGCGCCGTGTGACTTGGAATGACTCAAGAGGGAATCCGCCGAGTTGGATCGCATCAGATTGCCATTCTGTTGTTCCTTCCCATTTAGTGCTTTTGTGTGCATGTGTGTAGAAAAAAGAAATTTTAATGTCCGTGCACCATCACACAAGGGATAAACAATTGAAAGTTAACTCCCCCCCGAAATTCACACAAACATGTTTGTGCTCATGACACCTACCACTGCTGTGCAGACAAGTTGCCTGTTACAGAAGGTATTTTGTGCCATACTGTAATCTAGCTAGTGGTATTCAGTTGCAACCTTTTACTGTGATAAAAAAAAATAAAACAGCCATGCAATAACCACAGCGAACTTATGATAGAAAAGACTGCTTCAATAAAATATTAAGGGTATAATTAAGCGCTCGTCTTTTTGCCCCTTTGTCCTCGTTTTCAGCTCAAGCTATAACATTCATTAACTTCAATAATTTACATTTCAAAACAAGTCTTAACTGTATTTATTTAGAGTGCATAAAAAAACTTTGATAGTGTGGCCCTCACTTTGTTCAAACCAGTAGTGCAGGTATTCTCGCATCACAATATTACAGTAGAATCTCGATGATACGATTACGGTTGATGCGAATTTTAAATTGTTTTGGATGGACTACATTACACAAAACACACAGTGATTCGGTGCTATATGGATGGTTTCCCCAGCCACCACGTTTGATACGAATGTGCGATTGACCACTGCATGGCCAGTGGCGCAACGCGGCAAAAACACGCCGTGAGGCTGATACGAATAAGTCGGTCAGAGACCAATTTTCCCGCCACGCGATAGCATAGTATCGCCTTTTTGCTCCACGGCTTTGGTTTCACCGGCTGCTCTATCTCTCAAACCACGTAATGTCAACAACCAGCTGCAAATCAACATGGCGGCAAAGGCATCGGCGGTTGGTCGTGTCAGCGCTATCATGAACTACTCGCGCAACACGTCAAAGCTCACGGCCTTGACAAGGACGCGGTCGTCGAGAGCATGGTTTGTATAGCGATCGCTGATAACACCAGAGGTAGAAGAAGGTGCAGAAGCAGCGGGCCGGCTTGCCGAAACGTGTCTTGTTTTTGCATTGCCGGCTGAATCCGTCGCTGCCGCTGTGTCCGTCCGCTCATATTATTTCAGCTGGCGTGTTTTCCGAAATAACGTTAGTAAAGGTGTAAACTGTTTCTTTTCAGTGCCTTGTATGTATAATTATAACTCGGTACGAACTTCAGTGCTCAGAAAACGGGCAAAATTGAATTAATTCTCAAGCGGTGGTGGCAGCGGCGGGGGTGGCAGAACGAATGTGAATGTTTTCGGTGGGCACGGACGTTGTTTTCTGGCTGCGCTGGCATTTTCGCTTGAATTCTCTAATGCGAATTCTCCAGGACTCATTTTTTTTTGTGTCGATTTCACAGCGTGGTTTTTCAGCTGCTTAAGCGGAGAAACGAGTGAATTTCCAATGAGTTTGGCGGCTTTCGCTCGCTCTGATGTCAACTGTGAACGGGCTGTGCCAACGGCATGAGCGAGGAAACTATGGCACTTAATTGAGAGAGAGTGAAGGCAGGAAAATTCAAAAGAACATCGCAGACTTTTTTTCAGCAAAGGTGTAGTTGCCAATGAAGTTCTTGTTCATCATTTTTATCAGTTTTAAGCTGTTTTTGGTTCTACGAATTCGGGCTGATATGAATATTTTACGTGCTCCCTTCGAATTCGTATCATCGAGATTCTACTGTACAGATTTCAATGATCGTAAGCCTGTCTCCTGTACTGCTATGTTAACCAACCAGCGCCACCTATTCTATATTGCTTTATTACTACATCACCATATACCGAATCGCACAAGAATGCGAGAGCTTCAGTCTGTGCTCACCCGTGGGTCGTCGAGGGTCTGCCCCATCTCTGTGTGACCCAATGCCGACTGTTGGGGGTGAAATGGACGTCTTGACCTCCGTTTGCTGTTGCCTAGCGTTCGCCTTCTCCTGTTCTTCTCGCGTCCGCTTGTTGCGCTTGTAGGTGTCTGTGTTGCGAGCGTCAAGGTGGGCGTGCCTCTTCTCGGAAATGCTCTGCCGGCCAAAACCATCCCGACAGAAGTTGCCACCGTCTACCAGGGACAACCTGCATGCACATGATACAGTTGCCATGGCATCAAAAACACTTGTCACCCTTGTCTTGCTTGAACTGAAGGTACAGTGCCCGATGACATTATTCTATACTTGGATATCTATTCTCTTTAATGTGAAGTTTTGGAAGCCAACCAAACAAGAATATAAATTTAATACAAAGCAAAATATCCAGACACGCAATAAGTTCAATCAAGTGTCTTTCTGAAATACAAGGATAGTAGTATAACTAGTTCTGCAAGAGAAAAATTTTGTTACGCCAGGAAAATGACACAAAAGAGCAATGCAAGAAAGATGACAACATTTTCTTCAAATTTCAATGGGAAGTTCCTGTGGTGTCAAACATGGCAACAACAACAACAGAGTAAGGCGAAGCATAACTGAAGAATATTTAAAGAGGCAATGTCAACTTGGGCAGCTATCACAAGCTCTTTCTGCAAGATGTCACTGGCAATTCTGTGCGATCATGCTATAGAGCAACTGATGTCATTAAATGGTAGCTATGAAGGGAAGTTCCAATTCAATTGCTGTTTTCTTGATGGATAGAACCTTTCTGTGAAGTGTACAATCACAAATAAAGCCACAAGAGAATTTATACAGCAGCGAGAATTGGTGGCTGGCTACCCCACATGGTTGGAGAGTGTAGGGGGATAAAATGCGAAGCAGTGTGCATGGGTGAGGAGGCGAAATATAAGAAAGGTGAAGAGAAACAAGGTACTTGCTTTATTAGTGCAGCCTAATTTGTCGTTTGCATTTCACAGCCATTCGAAGTGCTATCTATGCAATGCAACCAGTCCAAATGTCAGTGTTAAATAAAAAAACCTCTGTAGCAGAAATTCATCACGAGAGATCACGGCATTCATGATTGATGTGAAATTAGTAGAAGTGTAGCGAATATTTGAAATTTTGAGTTTTTTCCAATAGTGTTTGCTATTCAATTCAGTGCGAACTGGAATTTTGATATTCGAGCTTCCCAAAGGCAAATGCAGTCAACGTCCTAACTGAATGTGGCCTCTTCAAGTTTCCAATGTGCTTCACCTCATCACATTCTCGTATTGTGTCAAAGCTGCCTTTCAAACTCCACTGCTGGTCGCAAGTGTATCAACTCAACGCAGGTTCCTACATAGGAGATGACAGATGTGGCAAAGGTGGGGGCTCAATTAATGCTACTTTGGACCTGAAACTTACGGCAGGAAATGTGAAAAATCGAATGCTGAAGATGGTTAGCATCCGAAATTTCAGATGTTCTTAGATATTGACATCTACGAGGCAGATAGTGAAACTAAGGAATTGAAGGGAGCACCCTTGTCCGTCACATCAGCTGGGCTTCCACAGAAGTTGAAAAAGGAGGAGGGGCGGAGGAAATGGCATCTTTGCCTTTCACGTGTAAAGTGTTGTCCACAACACTTTGGCTGCACCAAATCATGTACATGAATACAGTTCGGCCTATGCGTTGCCTCAGTTCTTCATAAGACAACTACGAAAACGACCCTGCCAGAGTCTCACCCACCTAGCTAAAAAAAAAAACACGTTCACATTGCTATCTCACAAGAATATGCTTAGGAATGCTCTCCAAATTTTTTCTGCAATTTCGCTTTCAAAGTATTTGAAAAAGATTCGATTCCACTTCATATTCAAATTCGCTTCACACCCAAAATTTTGCTTATTGCACAGCTCTAGAAATTAGCAAATTCAGGCACAAATCTTCAGGGACATGAATGAGCAATCAGGAAAGGGCTATGCACTTCAGGAGTGACACATACTCGCTCTGATTGAGGTTGTTGCTATTGTGACCGAGAGTTGGCGTTGGGGCTTCCTCTTCGACCGGCGTCATGGGTGGAACAGAGGTGTCGCCACCGCGCAAGGAGGTCGGGTAGTCGTCCTCTATCTGCACCGTGTCTGGAGGTACCCGGCCGGTGCTGGGGGACAACGGAGTTGGACGGTGATTGGGTGCGGTGCGAGGCGCCGTGTGATGCCGACTGTGCCGTTCGGACAGCCAGCTGTCGTGACTGGCACGCAGGTATGACTCGTTGCGAAGGTTGGACGGCAATGTGCCAGAACTCTGGCCCATAAGCCGCTCCAGCACAGGGATTCCTTCCAAAGCCATCTGGTTAGACAAAAAGAAAAACGGTGCTGTCAAGGAGTGACAGGCAAAAACTCAATGAAAAGGCTGAATTAAGGTTTAACGAATTGTGCTGTATGTGCACAAACATATAAAAAAGAACGAACTAAGTTAACCCATACAAAATGCATCCCCGAGTCGAAGTAGAAGCTCACATGCTTGCTACAAGACCTGCGCCAGCATATCTATTACTGCATTTAAATGTTCTGATATTTACGGTGTTTAGGATGGACGTGCAGACTAAAAATTGCAAGAAAGGAATAATGAGGTTCGATGCAATATTGCAACTGAAGGTTCAAGAGAAGACGTTTTTTCTCTACAAGATCGTACAACTGAGCATAACAAAAAATAAAATTTGTTAATATGCCAGGCTGAGCCACAGCTCATGTCGCACAAGTTTGAAAAAAGTGCAGTTCTCACATTCGTGCACAGGTGGTGGAGGCGGCTGCTTGGGCACGTAGACCACGGTGTTCTCAGAGTTGCCGCTTGTGGAGTGGTCTGGTGTTCGACCACTGCCCCCCGAGACCGAGAGGTTTTCACAGGACGAGGAGGCAGCTGTTGAGTCTGAACTTAGCAGCGAGTCCGATCGCAGATGTACCGAGAACGAGTCCCCACTGGACAGGAAGCCTTCCTCAAACCTGCATTGGTGCACAGAATCATTCGATGAAGAAAGCAGCTTTTTATTTATTTTTTTCATCTTGTGATCAGTGAAGACGACAAAGTACTGAAAGAAGTTTGCATAGTAGTACGCTACTGTTGACTGAAGTCTGAATCAGAACTTCCGGTCAACAAAACCAGAAACAGTGATCATATAATGTTGATCAAAAGAGGTGAGGAGTGAAAGGTGAAGACAGTAGACAAAGCACTTGGGGATTTTTTTAGAGATAAGGTAAGGTAACAGTGCATTCGAATACTTGTGATATTCAGAAAATTTAAAGAAAGGCAATAATTTGAGATAATTTGCATAAATTTTATAACAGATTAATCCAATCTTCACACAAAACACCAAGTGGTACAGCCCTTTCTCAATTTAATTTCACCCTGCGCGGGCCATAAATAAAAACAAGACTTTGTGTAATGATTAGATGTAGGGAGCTACTCATGTAGTATTGACGAATGCTCTGAAAGGCATGGTATTAGCTAATGACTGTCTCCAGTATCTGTACATCTATGCCCCAGCTATCATGTTTTCAGTCCCAAAAGCGGCACTTTAAAGATTACTTGTCGAATAAATGCCGCACCTGAGGTTTTCAGCGACATCTTGTGAGGGAACCCGTCTAGCTATGGTGAGGGTGATGGCATTTGGGTTGGGCCCCTCGCCTTGGGTCATGGCACGACGCAGTGTCTCCATGGCTTGACTGTTGGTCATGCCCAGGAGGGAGATGCCATTGATGTTGAGCAGCTGGTCATTCGTACGCAAGCGCCCATCCTAGAAAGCAACAAAAAACAGAAAGTCACTTCTCATTACACGAGCTGAGGCAAACAAAGCTCATTGCAATAAAAGCCCAAGCAACAAGGGTTTCAAGAAGAAACAAGAGAGCTAATAGAGATGCGGAAAACATTAAGTAAAAGACAGCACAATGTGCTCGCCTGCTAGAAAGCTAGACTACTTTAAAGATAAATGACGAAGCGGTGCACAAAGGACACAACCACGTACTCATAAAATGATCGAACACAACAACTGTACTGAAACTCAGTTGAAGTACAACACATGTGTTTGCCTCGTTTTATGTGCCCATGATTGTATCTCTTGGTACGCTGCTTCATAAAATATCACGTGTCACCAACCAGCCCGACAGTACGTATTAAGAAACTTTAAGAGCACGCTACACCTAGCTACAATAAAGTGATTGCAGTATGTTCAGCATTCGTGGGGATATGAAAAGTACATAATTATATACCGAATTCAGGCTTCCCTTACCAAATAGGCTTGTGATCAAAAGTAAGCCTCTGAGTTAACTAAAAGCATTGTTGAAGATTTAAAGTTTTGGATAAGATTAAGCTAGCTAATCAACAGGTTCAGTTCAGCTCAACTTTTTCAAATTTATCACTAATTTTTTTTATACATAGTAATGAAACCTTTGTACCATACTTTTTAACTGATTTACAATGTAAAGTACATGTACAAAGCCAACCTTAGATGCAGCACCACCGTGGATCACTGATTTGACGAAGATGCCCAGGTCGACAGGGGTACTGGCACCAGTCGACGTTTTGCCCTTGACACTCACGCCAAGGCCAGCCGAACCAGTGTCATTGAGTGGAATGTCAAGTGTCAGAATTTCCTTCTGACGCCAGGGGAAAATGCCGACTTCATCACCAGCTTTTTCAGGGGGCTGCGTGATGGGAGGTTCAGACAAAGAGGTCAAGGAACAATTTAATGACACAAGTCCAGATGTCCGAACCCTCTTAGAAAAGAATCAATCAACCTTGTGCACATTATAGGCACAGGCATCGGCTGAATGTTAACGCTTTGCTATGTTCCTTACAACCCCCTGTCATTCGGTGCGGGCAGAAAGCTCATCTTGAGAATGTGGCGATGATGAATTACACGGCTCCAAATAAAAGTATGGCCTGTAATAGTGAGTATTGCAGTAAGGAAGCCTCGCTGGATGATCAAAAATAGCAAGTTACATACAGACATTTAAAATATACCAATCTTTAGCATTTTACGGTAATGAACCAAATAGGTTCTCAGTAATGACATGTTTACTTGACTGTACAAACATTCACCCTCAGTCCACAACACTTGAAACTTAGTGCCAGAATTTACACAGCATATGGCTTTGATATCATCACACATATCTTAAAGTTTTTTGTTTAATTAATTAGCTACACTGGCTTAAATCAATTTCTATTTTCAAATTCAAATATGCAACATTTATCAATTGCCTTTTACCATACATAACACTATGACAACATGATTGATTGATTTGATTGATATGTGGGGTCTAACGTTCCAAAACGACCATATGATTATGATAGATGCCGTAATGGAAGGCTCCGGAAATTTCGACCACCTGGGGTTCTTTAACGTACACCTAAATCTGAGCACACGGGCCTACAGCATTTTCCCCTCCATTGAAAATGCAGCCACCGAAGCCAGGATTCGATCCCGCAACCTGCGGGTCAGCAATCTTAGCCACTAGACCACTGCAGCGAGGCGTGACAACATTAAAGCACAAGGTATGTGATGATTCAGGGGAATAAAGAGGTGCGTAATTATTAGACATTAGAGAACCGCATGAAGCCATTTGAACCAGCACTCTGGCAAGATACGAGCACCAGGAACTCACAATTTCTCGTGGAAGACCAGGACTAGGTGAAGGGTCGGGCTCTTGCCTGGAGACAACCAACTCCACAGTGCTTCCAGGTGGTGCGTTTCTCAATATTGTGACAGCATCAGTTTGTGACCGGCCGGTCATTTCTACACCATTCACCTGAAAAGATTGTTTCATGTATGTGAACTACCGCCTAGGCTTGTGCGAATAGTCAATTTTAGGTTCAAAGCAAATTAGGAGTGAATAGTGATTTTGGTAGAATAATTTTGAGTCGAATTTGAACAGTATATACCATATATTATAAAGAAAAATTGGCATATTTGTTATGGCCTAACTAACCTGCACAGTACTTTTAAAAATTTCAAACAAGGCCAGTGCAAACGCCACTTTTTTTTATTCAAAGGAAGATGAAACAACTTTGAATATCAGGATTTGATTTCCTGTAGAACGCAAGCGATAACCTGCAAATTATGTTTATTTTAAAATTTACTACATTTAGAGCATATAAGCCAGCATAACAAGCTGTTAAACTTTAAAAATGGCAAATTGATGTGAGGGTATGATGTTCATCTAACCTTCAAGTAAGGCTTTCCTTCCTGTGTTCATCCGATTGTATGCGCAACGTTACATACCATAGACATGCACCAAATCGCCCACCAAAAAGTTCTTCTTAAATACTTTAAGTAAGGCTTCGTCGCAGTGCGGATTTCCCTTGTTAAGATGTTTTCACAGTTTTTCATACCTCCACCGCAGTGAAACCAACTTTACAGGAGAATTACATGCGGAATAATATACATGCATTTGTTCATTTCGAATACTTCGAAATTTTTAACAATTTAAATTCGAATTGAAGCAATTTCGAATACTGTAGCATTTGTTCAAATATTCAAAGCATTCAAATATTCGCACAAGCCTACTACCACCCATTAATTTATCAAAAGCAGAGTGTTTCATAACAGTTCCACTTCAAATTAGCATGATTTCAAACTAGACCAAGTAGTTACATAAAAAAGTGTGGCTGCATGGCGACCAGAGATTTGCCAGATCCCATTAGTTGATCCTTTTATTTGCTGAGAAAACTTCTTGAGAAGCCGTAACTGTCTTTGCTAAAAATAGTTAGGTACATCTACAAACAGCAGCTACATACTATCTCACGGAGTTGAGGGACTTGCAATGGTTATATGTACTAGCTTGTAAATGAACTACTGTCTGAAATGATGAAGCCATTTGTGGTTTTGCAGATAGTACACTGTAGGCTCTTCTTTTTTTTTTTTCAATAGGCCCTTTTCACAATCTGCAACTGCGATTTCCTGTGCTGCTTATTTACCGAAGTAACGGCCGCACCTGTTGTATTTCAAGTGAAGACAAGGTCCTAGTTGCATGTGTTGGTCATGTCCATCATGCAAGTTTACTATCAAAAGAACCGATTATATGCTTTCTGCATTATGACACAATGAAACTGCGCTTGATTATGCTGTTTGCGGAAAGTGACTAGACAACATTACTTGAGCCAACTGCCTCGCAAAAAAGCTAGCTTTACAATTAAGAAAACTGTCTATTGTTACTTCCCAATAGTATTACACACTCAATATAGTAAGCAAGTCATGCATTTGCTGCTTGACAAAACTGGCTGATTGGTTTGTGTACAATCTTGCAGGCTGCACATTACAGCCTAATCAATTCGAGTTTATATTACATCTGACGAGCCAAGCAGCAAAGTTAACGTTTACACAACTTCTAAGTTGCAAATCATATAAGTAATCTGTGTTGTCACGCATATCACCTCACCTCGAGTAACCGGTCACCCGGCCTGAGCCGGCCATCATCAATAGCTGCTCCGCGAGGCAAGATGTTCTTGATGTAAATTGGGCAGTTCCCACCAGCCGGGTTGTCCCGCGTTGTCACACTAAAGCCCAATCCTTCGGGCCCCTTGACCAACTTTATGTGTACCTTGCGACCGATCTTACGCGTGTTGGCAACATTGAGGCTCGAAGCTGTTGATCGTCCATTGGCAGTGGCAGAAGGTGGCGGTGGCGGAAGCTTTTTGGTTGGCGTCACCGTTGCCACCTTACTGTTGAGACCACCTGCACAGAGGATAGCGAATAGAAGGCAGTTGAACAGGTGTTAAAGAAAAAAAGGGTTTCCAATGTGCAAAGAGAAGAAAAGAACAAAGACTGCAATATTAATCAATTACAAACAAAGGAGTCTGATACAATAGGCATATTATAGCTACAATAAAGAAAGGAGTGATAAAGTAAGCATATTATAGCACATAATATTTTCCCATAACACCCATCATCTAGAAGATAGCTTTTTCTTTTACAGCAAGCAGCACAGTTTTAGCCCCAGCTTATCATGCGAAACGAAGTTGGCCGAATTCACAAGTGACCTGCACTTAAACCTCGATCCATCCTATCAGAATGATGCCGTCTTCATCAATTTCTCAAAAGCCTCTGACCACGAAGCCCACCGTGGTTTCATAACTAAGCTCTGTACACCAAACTCGGCCTATTTACACTGTCATGGTTAGTAAATTTTTTGACAGCTTCGTTCATAATTCACTTCCATTGGCGGAAACTCTTCTGCCAAAACAGATGTGCTTTCCGAGATTCCTCAAAAAACGGTCCTTTGCCCTTTTTTGTTCTTCATATTCATCAATAACTTGCCATCTGGAATTACCTCATTTAACCGTCTTTTCACCGACGACTGTTGTGTATCGCAGGATAATCAATAGTACAGATCAATCATCACTGCATTAAGACCTTAACATCACCGAAGCATGGGCTGGCTCATGCACCCAAATGTCTCCAAATGCAAACATGTGTTCATTTCTCACAAAAAATCCAACCTTGCTTTTCAGTACACCTTAAACTCCACTGTGATATCTCAAAGGGACTCTTACCACTACCTGGGTATCCTCATAAGCAGTATCCTGACCAGGTCAGACCACATCATCAAACTTGCAGCAGTCACGTTCAAGACCTTTGGATTTCTCTAACGACTTCTCCGTCACTTCCCTCCCACCATCAGAAAACTTGCGTACAAAAATTCGTAAGGACAAGACTAGAATTAGCTTCCTCGATTCGGAGCCCCCACCAAGATTACCTCATCTCTTCCCTTCAGTCAGTTCAGAATTGTGCCGCCCGGTTCATATCATCTTGGTACAGTAAACATGCATGTGTCACTGAGATCATGTCATCTCTTGAGCTTACTCTTCCAAATGATCACAGAATAACTGCGCAGATCAGCCTGCTTCATAAACTGAACCGCAACTTTTCTCATCTGCATGGCACTCTACTAATTCCACCAACTTGCACCTCACGTCGTATGATCAACTCTAAAATCATTCAAGGTCTTCATGAATTAAATCGAGCCTTTAACAAATAATTCTTGCCTTCAGCAATTAACACAGGAACAACAATCTGGAATTATTTGTTTAGGAGTACGACCCAGACAAATTCAAAGTGTTGTTGTCTTCAGTTTTTAGCTAACTCTCACACTATCCAGATCGTCAATTAGCTTCTTCTCAACAATAAAGTTTTTTTTTCTTTTTTAAGGTATTCATTGGTGTTTGCGTCCGACTGCCTACCATCTGTATTAGTTCTTACACTATTTCAATTTACTCTGCCTTTTGGTTTATCTGCTGTTTAATTGCTTTGCTTGTTACCGACTATTCAAACACTGCATTTCTGTCATGACATGTCCCCAATATACAGTAGACTCTCAGTACACCAAACCTGAAGAAACTGGGAAAATGTGTTCCATTTAACAGGAGTTCCATTTACTGAGAGGTGAACATGGGTGCAGAATACAAGCCCGAAACCAAGCGTTCCAGAGACAATAGTTCCGTTCAAGCAGCAGTTCCATTCAACAGATTTCCGCTTACTGAGAGTCTACTGTAGTCCCGCCTTATTACATACCTTGAATAAGCCTTTAAAGGTAAATAAATGATGAGTAATGCTTGTACCAATTGGTAGTACAAGAGTACTATCTGAATCACTAGGCACACCAGTTTGGCTCCAAAGTGCCTGCGGCAGCAACACTACTTCTTATTACTGGTACAGAGCGCAGGCTAAGTACACCCAGCCTTACTTGTGACACTGAAAGCTGAGCAGAATGATTTCACCAAATTCAATGTGAATGTGCAGCATTGCACAAGCTGCTTACGTATGGGTTCAAGGAATCATCTAGTGGAATGCAAAAGAGAATCCCATGCAATTTTTTTTCTTTTAAGTACCTTAGGGCAAAGTTGGCCTCGGTTTTCAGATCCACTTCCCTATATTACATCTGTTTTCACTATCAGCAGAAAACCCCAACAAGTAGAAGTACTGCGCACCTACATGCTTTGCAAGAGCAAGAGCATAGTACAGCTGATCGGGACAATGACTTGGTATTTTTCGAGCTCCTGTAAACCTCATCAATAATCTATCAGCACCTCATAACAGTCCCGCGGCTGAAACACTTCGAACCACTCACTTCTCTCTTCTCCCTCAACGAGACCGTTGACGACACCGTTGTTAAGGCCTTCGACAGGGTCATTGCGGAATGGAGGCGGGGGCGGCCTCTTGGGTGGACTTTGCAGTGAGGATGTTACAGAGGAAAAACCCGCATCACTGCTACTTTGTGTTGATGACAGGGATGGAGGCAGCGACAGGGGCAGAGGAGGAGGAGGTGATGACATAGGAGAGGAACCAGAATGTGTCGGCCTCCGCCGTGACAGGTGCAGGCAGATTTCTTGAGACTGTAGCGCCTCCTGCAACGAGACAAAAAAAGGAATTTCAGCCAGTGCCATATCGTGAAAACCATAAAACACTGAAGCTGTAAGCACTTGAATGTACATGACTGGCTAGTGAGATAAAGTGGTGTCGTATATCTGCTACTGCATTTGAAATATGTGGGGTTGCACATTTAAAGCATCATCATCATCACCATCATCATTGTCATAATTTTCAACACCATCACCATAATCATTTTGAAAATCATTTCTGTGAACTTCAGTGAAGCTTGACGAAGTCCCTTGTTGGTACTTAAGTAATCATGAAAAAATGATAAAATTTGCAGGAATGCCAGGCAACACTAAGAAAATATGTAGTAGTGTTATTTCGATGCCTCGCATCTTGGTTCATCGTGTTTCTTTTTGCACTTTTTACTAGTCCTTTCCTAAAATGTGCATGACAGACGTCACTCACTTTTCGGTATAGATCTGCAGTGGTATTATGACCAAGTCCTGTCTCGCCCTTCTCTAGGCAACAAATATATTGAGGAACTATATCGTTGCAACACACCTACCTTGAACACTTGCTGTGCAGCCTGGAAACTAAGGTGCAGGAGGCTCCGGCCATTGACCTCCACAATGGTGTCGCCGACCCGTAGCCGGCCATCTCGGTCTATTCGACCACCCGGCTCAATGCCCTGAATCACCAGGCCCATGTCCCTAGTTCCACACAAGAAAAGGTAAGCACATGCAAACAACTTTCTAAAGAGCCTCTGAAGTCTACAAACAGCGAAAATTTGCAGACAAAAAGTTCCCGAGTTTTTTTTAAATTACACTTCATTAGGACTAAATGATTTTGCTGCCACGCCAAGTAGGAGTATGTATTTAAAGGGACAGTAAATAACAATAACAGGTTGTTTCACCGTAAAAGGTTAATGCTTGAGAACATCTAAAATGCCAATAATAACAATAGCAGTGCTGTCTTCAAAAGGTAAGACACAATATGCGCCACGAGAGGGACATTTTGGAATGAGCCTGATGATGTCAAAAGTCCCGACTACAAGTATTCACCAGCACTCAAACTACTTATAATACAAAATAACATTTCATGCATGATATACTAGACGTAACAAAGTGCTGCCTATGTGTTTCTTCTTGATTAATAGCAAAAAAAGCTTGGCGTTACCACGGCGAATGGTGCTGGCGGTTCAAAAGTTTCATTTTTTTTAATTTTTTTTTTTTCAGTATGCATCCGCTCACGCAGTCGCGTCTCAGTGGTAGTTTCCGCTAGTGTAGTTGCATTCTCACGGCTGTTTTTGTGAACCACCCCTCTAAACGCATTAAAACCAAATGGGTCGTCAGGTACCTTCTGCACAAATCCTGGGAGGGGATCAACATTGGTTCAACACGGACCACACAAAAGAACGTAAGTTTATCCTGTTGCAGCTCGGCGGCAGGGTGCAAGAGGAGGCTCACTGAATGGCACCACCACGAATACAACATTGTACAAAGATGAGGAGGCCTCATTCTCGCACTGACAGCCAGATCACATGCAGCTTCCGAACACTACCCGACAGTGTCCGAGTATCATGAGACACCGTAACAGCTCTGCTGCAAGAAACATTGCCCTACAGTGCAAGCAGCAGTGACCAGCAAAACAAGAATACCAGTAAATATTCTGGCATGCATTTTCGAGGGAGGCACAGTGTTGCCAGATGATGGAGGGCACTAGAGTAAAGCGGTGTTGGAAAGTGCTTACCTACATCATGAGTCCTTAAAGGGCCCCAAACCACCTCCGATACTTTTACAAACTTTTCAAGTAAACACGCCCATTGTGTTCAGAATGCCATCACGATGAACAATTCTACACGTGGCAGCGCAGGCGGGCCACGAATTCCAAGAAACAATCTCTCCTTCTTTTCAAGCCTTTTCGGCCTCCGCGTGATGCGCCGTACGAATATCCCTGATGCGCTGTTCAAATTTCCACGCTAGCCACAAATATGCTGTGATTGGTCAAGCAAGAGCCTACGACATCTGGTTAGTCTGCAAGCAGCTGTCCACAGTACTTGTGGTTGCTCGTGCTGCCGCATGTGAGCATATGAGTCCATCTTGTTGACGACCCTTTGAAAGCGTGCGGGCTACGCAGAGCACATACCGGCACAATTCATATAAGCACGGGTCGGCACGAGCAGGAAGTTGACGGTGTCGTGAAAACTGGAAGTAGACGGTGTTTCAAGCAGGGCGTCGGCGATAATGTATGCCACGCGAGATTGGGAGGGGCATAAGAGGAACACTCGGCGAAAGGGCAAAGCGGCTTTGGGAGAGGATACCATGAAGGGTAGTGCAGGAGAGAGCAAAAGGAGGTTGCGGTTTCGATAATCAAACGCGTTTAACTTCGCTATCACGGCACCATTTCGAAAAATTGTGACCGCTCCGTGCTCATCGTACACTCGCGCACGATTTCCCCACCACAACTGAATTTTGACTCTGGGTGGTTTAGGGGCCCATTGCGTGGCAAGTGGTGTGAAGCAAGATTTTTTTCACTAGCCATTTCCTTGGCACGAAATAAACCAGCCCTACAAAGTTTTTCGAATATTTCAAAAGTTCACGCTATGTTGTATTTTGTCGTTAGTGTCCCTTTACGGCAAAGTGAACTGTCCTCACCTTCCCCCACTGCCTTGTTCAGGAACAACATGGATGCCCAGTGGACCGGCTTCGTTCTTGAGTACAACTATAGAGTCCCTAGATGAACAAGTAAAATATACCAATTAAAAATCATTGCACAATTGCTTACTTTAAAGGAACAGAGTAAGCCCCATAACTACCATGTATTTTATGTAAGGTTTACATGATTTTTCTGCCATAACCACAAAATTTACGGTAATTATTTTACTATCATTGTCATCGTGAGCCATTCCTCTTCTTACTGAAGCTGATCTTACTACTGCTAAACTTTTATAATTTTTTTATTTGTTTACCTAATTATCACTCAGTAATAGCCATTAAATGTTGTGCTGAAGAAGAAAATTTTCTCACACAACAATAATTCTGCTCCAGTACATTCACAGTTATGTTATCTAAATACAGGTTGTAATCTGTGTGTCTAGATACTGTGGTTGCTGAGATAAAAAAACACAAGTGCAAAAATAGCACGTTATAAGATAATTGCATATGAAATTGAAAATCTGGATTATTTCAAAAGTACGAGATAACAGCAAATTGATAAAACCCATTCAATAGGCACCAGCCATATATTCATCACCAATGTCATTTTTTCTTCTTTTTATTTTGAAACGGCTTGCTTAGCGAGCCTCATTTGTCACTTGCTATGCAGCCGTGTCAGCACAGTACTGTGCAGTACCCTGGCGAAATTCCAAAATAATTCAACACATTGACACGAACTATATTGCCATCATTAAAAGTGAACACAGCATCAAGAGTGCATATTTACAGCATTTGGTGCTTAAAGGAAACATTTTTTTTTGGGATCCCACAGAACAATCCAACGACTCCTTATGGTTTTGCGTTTTCCCAGAGAGGCATTCAGCAAGTAATTCTGGATGAGCTAGTTCCAGATTATTTGGCTTAAAGGCCAACGCCAGAGATTTTTCGAGGTCAGTGGATCTCAATGAAATACACTGTGTACGTTTGCACGTTTGTGCCATTCATGCCAAATTGCAGGCTTGAGAGTTTCACAGATTCTTTTCAAATGAATTTTATAGCTTGCCTCGAAACGCTCACCTCGACTGCCAGAACTAATGGCAACAGTGTGTGTGTGACGTTGACTTTTGCCTGGCGGAAGTGACGAACTGATGTGCCACTGCAGCGTCTGCTTGTCTACTATAGATTGTGTAGGTTTGGCTGGCGCTTTCTTGGTTGAGTGTACGATTCTTTTGTCCGTGTTGGTGGGCGTGCGATAGGTGCCAAGTGTTGTTGCATTGTGAGCCACACACGATTCGCCATATATTCTCCATAACAGCGTAAGCGTTTTAGCCGATTGCCGCAGACGATGTGGAGTGCCATCTGGCGAGAATTACGTGCAATCGGGCAGGTTCCGGCAGCGTCAGGCAAATCTTCATGTCACACGTAGAAGCGCACTCGGTTGGGTTTCGGTATTTCGGTTTTTTTGGTAATTAAAAATTATTTTCAAACTTTTTGAGCATTTCAGTTACCAGGCCCGTGAGAAGAGTGTCTAAGGGACATAAAATCACCATTATCCTGACATGGTCAAAAAATCACCGGAGTTGGCCTTTAACAGCCTCAATAACAGATGCTAGATGGAGTTCTTTATGAACGAGTGGTTCACCATTCAACTGGAGTTTGTTGAATTTACACCAACTTTCGACGTCCTTCAAGCCAAGGCCGTGGGATTGATTGGTATCCTTTGATGCCATGTGAAAATATGTGAACTGGACAGCTTTTTGCATGTCCTCCAAGCTGGCTCTATTTCTTTTAATGGCCAAACGATACTTGTTTTGGTGCGTGCCAATGATGACACCCCGGCTAGATACAGATTTCTCAACAGAAAGCTTGATACTGCTGCTTTTTTTCGTTCTCGCAGTTTTGGGCCCATTCTTTTCTAAATATGCTAAATACACTCCAGCTTGCAACTTAAACTCTCCATATAGCTATGATGCTTGAACAGCAAGGAATACAGTACCTTGCTACGCAGGAATGGGGCATGGCATGCCACCACACAAGTGTTGAAATATGTCATTTTTAGGCAAAGAAAATATTCCACTGAGACAAACGAATTCCTGATTTTGGTTCAGAAAAGGCCACAAATTTCAAATAACATAAAAAAAAAATAATTTTTTTCAATATTTTTGCTTACCCTGTACTCTTAACCTGTCTTCTTGCTTAATAGCAGTTGATTATAACACTGAGAATTATGAGCAAGACACACACACTGTGACAAAATTTCGATGAACATCAGTGTGGCATAATGCATAAACGAAATAATAACTACAGCAAAATGGTTAGATATGCATGTCACAAGCTATACCATCTCGCTCAGAGCAGTTGGCTCGATCAAGAAAGTGCTCTGAAGAAACTTAATAGAATGCTTTGCTGGGTGAGTTCACTTATTGTCTTAACATGAAAGCAGAGCGCAAAAAAAGACTGGACAAGAGAGACAAGAGGATGGGGAGCGCCCATCCCATGTTGCCTCTCCTGTCCTGTTTTTCTCACACTCTGCTTTTGTCTTAAGGCGCCGCAGAAAGTATCTTTGTTGTTGTGGTGTCTAATTTCTCAGATGATAAAACTGGAAGTTAAGTGTGCTGGTACCTATTTATATTGTGGATGAAATACATTTCCAATCCACGTGAACCATATTGGCTAGTAGAATTTATTGACTTTGCATTAGCATTGCAACCATCATTTGCATGCACTGTACTGATCTGCAGGGAGGAATGTTTTGAGTGTGGAACTCAAGTTCTCTCTTGTAAAATTGTGAGAAACCAAAGGGAGGAAGCATAGTGGTCACAGGAAAACAATTTTGTGCACTCAATTAGTCACAAAGTGGCGGAGGCCAGGCTGCAATGGCTTTGTAAGAGAAAAGATGGCAAAAAAAAAAAGAGTGGAGTGTTTCTTTAGCCTTGTTTTTTCTGGAGCAAGTACAATTATCATAGTGATCTCGCTTAATGGACACTACATTCATTAAGAATGTGGCAGTGAGAGAAGAACTGTGACAGCTACTTGAGGCAGACATACAGACGTCCTTGACATCCAGGCAGCTGTTACCCTGAAGTAGATCTGCACTTCAGCTTTCATTGAGCAACCATAAGCTTCAACTCTTATTTATATCAATTAATGACTTTATCACAGCACCAAGCAAGCTCTTTCCCCCCAAACAAATGAATGACAGTTACAGAATTAAGAATATCACCTGAATTCAACAGAACACTTCCTTCAAAGCAAAACTTTCCTCCACATAAGCTTGATAGACTAGATATGCAGAAACGATACAAGGACAAAAATAGGTGCCTAAATGTGTGCCAACCCTCCTCACCTTTCTTCTTGGCTGCTCCCTGAAGAAGCTGCACTGTCCCTGTCAGGAGAAGAGCCAGCACTGCCCAGTGGTTCTTTCCTGCTGTCTTGAAACTGCAAATGCACAGTGACAGCAAGCATAATTTAAAGATAATGTAAAGGATTATAATCTCTATTTCACAGAAGTGCTACTCGATAGACGTGTCGTAAAATGAACCAGAATGATTACTACAGCAATGAAGTGGCAATGACACTACACGTGACATAAGCCAGACATACGGAAAACGTACTCGAGAAACACCATGTTGTGCAATGCCTATTCAAATGCTTACCCGCGCCAAACTCCAACCATGCTCTGTTATGATTTTCAAAAGCACAGAATAATTATAGTGTGCTGGACAGAATGTGAGAAGAGCTTGCGTAACTAATAGCCAATTCTATCTCTGCAATTGTCCCTTGAATGTGACCTGACAGAGGTGCGACACTTAGTGCAGGTGAATGATGCTATGAAAGTGTAGCTCAGGATGTCTCGATGGGCTAGTTGGTTTGTTTTGTGCAGAAGAAATCGTTCTAAAATAAAAATGAACACCGCAAAAAAGGATCACTAGACAGATCTGTTGAGTGTTCCTTCTTTGTGGTGTCCTTTTCTATTTTAAGGCCCGTGTGCTCAGATTTGGGTGCACGTTAAAAAACCCCAGGTGGTCAAAATTTACGGAGCCCTCCACTACGGCATCTCTCATAATCATATGGCGGTTTTGGAACGTTAAACCCCACATATCAATCAATTTTCTATTTTAGTGCAATTTCTCTTGCATAGATAGTGTAGCTGCACAGATATACTGCAGAAAATCTTGGCTTTTAAATCTATGCATACTGCAATTACCTAAATAGCATTAATTATTATAAGTCTGCCGCTCTTGATGTAAAGAGAGCCGAGTAAGAATGCACGAAAAACATGTCGTTTTGGCAACTATCTCTGATGCATGCAGGACAAATGTCTGCCTGTGTATCTATGTTTGATTGTGATACAATGACGAAAGCAATGTGATGCTGCCCTCAATTGACCAGGGTGATTGATATGTTTGCACAAAATGTAATGAGCACATAATGACTGATGAAGGGGACCCAATTTCTAATTCTTTATCTTTTCTACCATGATGCAATGTTCATGCAATCACCTGACACTAAACGAAATTATGGTTCTAGTTATACACTCCTTCTATAAACTGGTGCTGTTGCTGTGCGGACAGAACAGGCTTGAAAAACCTGGCTACAAGAACTGACTAGCGACTGTATTCATTAGGAACAACTCTTACATTAAATCAGAAATGGGGCACTTTTACTAAACAATCTTAAAAGTTTGCAAGTATGGGACTGACACACACCTAAACAGAAAATGTTGAAAACTACGACATCGTTGAATACACCCGGCACAATCCAACTACACTTGCCTTGTAGAGCTGCCTGTCAGCCGCCTCTGCCCACCGAAGCATGTGGGGGTTGTTCCCCAGCATGGACAGTCGTCCAGAGCCCCGAGAAATGCGCGACAATGTCCCCGCGTTAGACTTCTCTTCACCGCCACTTCCCTCACCCCTCTCGCCAGGTGGGGGAGGAGGCTGCTGCTCATTATCTGACAGGCTGCCATTCTGTGGGGTTGCAGAACAAAACATGAAACACACCTGACGACAATGCAGTATGTACAAAGAACATTCAGTGTGTTAGTATGACATTACTCCTTCGCCTACTGAAAAACAAGAATTATGGAATCACAAGTTGCCATGGCATCAAAGGTATGTATCATGACACCAAAGTTTCACAGGAGAAATCTTGTTTAATACAACCATGAGGCTCAGAATCAATAGCCATCACAGGGACACACACAAGCTTTCAAGTCCCCTCCCCTAGATTTTTAAAATTCTTTTGCAGATACATCAATGACTGATGGCTAGAATTTATTATTCGTCCCCTACACTCAGCTTTTCATGACTTGCAAATGCACATGCACTGCACACAAATGGGAAAAAGAAAACACACACCTCCTTCACATCTCGAGTAAGCGAAAGATCATCCACAACGACAGCAGCTGACCACCTCTTGCTGGGATCAGGTTCAGATGAAACTGGTGAAAGACGATTTAGCGTCGGCTCACTGCCCCTTCGAACCTGAAGGGGAGCGACGCCTGCAAACACAATGGGAAAAGTGCATGTTCAAAAATTTTTCACTGATATTACTGCTGCCACTGACAGCAACAATAGTGCATTATTGCAAGTAACGATTCCTTATACTTATCATGAGGCCAACAATGAATTTTCACACACCTTGTGACATGAGGTAATGTGGACAGATGCATGTAATACAGTGCACCTATGTGTTGCTGCTTATTATTCTGAAAACATCTATTTTTGTGTATGTGGTAAATAAGCACTCAGAATCAATGTCGTGCCCTCACTTTGCCTGTGATTCAAGAAAGTCAATAAGACAGAGCACATAAATACATTTTTAAATTTTATGAGTGTAATCAACATATTAACATGCGCCTAGGGTTCCCATAGGACAAGGTTCGTGCTTTTTCGACACACAGGTAAACCTATACACTGCAGGGTTTCACATGAAAACATTGCAGCTTTCATGAAAATGTTTGCATACTTAAACGTATCGATTATAGATGCACGTCTGTCTACCACTGTGCAAGTGTACACTTGTCGACATACAAAGGAGAGGCTCCAAGATGACAAGATCATACTGACAAAAAGTTTAATAAATGCTAGCAATATGAAATGGTGTTTAGTTCTGCAATACTTTGTAACACAGCACTACAATGCAGCCTTCAACCACAGGCACTATGCCGCGGCTCATATGAAATGCAACTGCGAATGCTTACAGGTGGCGTAACCTTCCCCAGTTGCGATATCGACAAGCCAGAGCTTCCTTCTTGCTTTAGTGATATCGCACACTGCTGCCATCCATGACGGTTTGAGCAGCATTATATTTCAAAGAAAAAACAGCACGTCATTTGCCGAACTTTTAACTCACCCACTGGAAGCTTGTCTGCGGTAATTTCTTCCACGTCAATGTAACTCGAACCACCCTTGATGCCCCCATTGTGGTTCAACTCATTGCAGTGGAAGATGTCGGGGCTCTCCGTACCCACAGAACTAGCACTGGTCCCATCTCCAGCATTGTGGGTCGGGCAGGGAGATGACCGCTCTTCGAACACGGCTATGATCTGCGCAACGAAAAATTGACATTGGCCCTCCCCACTCAAGGATGAACAGCAGTCAGTATTTAACGCAGAAATAATTAAATGCACACAACTTTCCCTTCCAGTCAGAAACAAATCACTAGCTCTATTAGGTTTATCTGGGAAAACAATGCGCTTCTAGGATGTTCAGAAGCAATAAAGCTTCTGTAAACCAAGCCAAACGACAATGGACAGTTTCTCCATTCACTGAGATGGTGATGTGTTGGATGATAACATTCCCGCCATCACATTTTTAGTAGCTCATAAGTGAGGCAGCTTGTGTAGGCAGCAAACAGTCAGGAACGATAACACATAGTTAAACAATGAAGAGATCAATACCGACTGTTCCCACCTCCCTCTGAAACGACACAAATGGAAAAGAAAGCATCATCAAAAGCTCGATTTGTAGCCGCACTCATGTACACGTAGCCTCAGTGTTCAAGAAACAAGCCCCGCTCACTTGTTCCCTGTCATCGACGACGTCGTTGAGGTGGTCGTCAAGGTCCAGGATACCCCCGTCATTGCAGCTTTTAACATATGTACAGTAACCCAAGTGTCTTGAGGCTGCGAAAATGAAAAGAAAAGGAAAAACCCAAAGTTCAAAATTCGTGAAATGCTTAATTTCCCTTCAACGGGTGATAAAAAGCAGAACGTCCCTTCACGGTATGTAAATCATCCACACATGCAAAACAAACAGTACATGCCCATGCTGCTCATACGAATCTGTACCAGTTTAAATGTGCATCTTCTTATTCTAAGCTGTTCAGATCCACCATTAGCACCAATGCATATGCAAAGTGTGCTATAGCACAGTATCTTTTAACTAAATTTTGCAAATTCACAACAGTTTATCAAGAAAACTTTAACTTGCACAAAAGCAATGAATAAACCAGCAACGAAGTCATTTCTTTTTTCAAAGCAATTTCACAAACTTTTTATGAGATTATCCAGCACAAATAGTGCAATAATTGGGAAAAAAAGAAATAACAATAAATGTTTAAAGGGCTTTCCTATGTTAATATGTGCAGTCTCGCACTTTGTCGGAATTATTGTCAACTACAGCTTCTGCTATTTATGGCTAATGGTCTTCCACACTAACCATCATTATTGTTGATGGACGTAAAGACAAATCAGAAGAATAAGTTTTTGTCATTATGCTCAAACTCACAACTTCAAGGCCTGCCAACATGGGAGTGAAAAGTTAAAATTAGTTACAATGTAGGCACCTACACTAACTTAAATATGGCTCATAATACAATTGTGGGTGTTCATCTCCCAATCCAAAAGCCGGTACAAGAGACAGCTAGATGGCAAGACAGCTGCTCCAGAAGTGAAGTTAAACAGTGCCTACACGAGTGCCCTGATGGCAAGGTCACTCAAAAAGGAAACTATAGCCAAACACTGGCTTTCCAGGTGCTATTGCCACCACAGAGAAAGAGAAGCAAGGGGGACACCATCAAAGAAAGCTGGCAGCTCATTGTAACTAAATGACATGTAGACTGGGGCAAGAGGCACCGAGTCACTGAACTACGCGATACTAGAAGTTTTGTGTAAGGTTACTGCACCATTAACAGTTACTCCAATGCAATGAATAATGCAACAGTGAGCGAAAAATTGTCAGTACTCCTAGTGCAACTATCAATATTACTGCTATAACTGACTGGTACATGTGTACCAAAACATATTAAAGAAGGTGACAAAATTTAGTCAATAATACTGAACATTCGCCATCAGTGTACTAGCTGAACTTGCAGGATCGGTGATGCATCTGAACTCCACAGAGAGGTATCCCTTGTACCATAAAAGTATAAATGATTAGTAATCTAATACATCACGATACCAAATGCATTATGGAAAGCTAAACATTCTATAGTGCAAAAGAAACTCCGTCAATGAAGCACAATTAGAATTTTCCTATATTTAAGTAAGCCTCCATAGAAAATGTCCAAACTGAAATACAAATATATGAAATGCATTAGGATAGATGCTATTTTGTCAAGTGCATGCTGCATCTGAATTCAACTAAAAGGGAGATTGACATTTACGAAAAAATACATTGGGGAGAAATTCATTTGTCAATGGGATACGTAATTTTATGGTGCTGTTGTTGAGAACACTTGCTGGAAAAGTAATTCCAGAAGTTGCAAGAAAATACAGATGATGGAGGGTATTACAAGACGTTGCTATAAGGAAGAAGGATCGAGATGATGCTACAAGCATAACACACGCAAGCTACACACAACGATCGAACAATACTGTCAGTTGCTACCATAATCCATTTAACATGATATAAGATTACATAATATTAGTGCTGATATTATGTCTGCACTTTAATGTCCTTTGATTTTTGCCAGATCCTACTAATGAAAATCTACTGGCAATATATGGCAATTAACTTTCAAGAAAAAAAAAGGCAGCATACAACTGGTCAGTTTACTATATCCCAAACAATAATTTTACAACAACCTGTATGCAATAAACAATGTGAGATGTGCCACCAGATCCAACTTGATCATGTTAAACCATGGCATTACGAGCTGCTTGACAGACTCATTTTCACAAAATTATAAAGATGACACACTTAGAGGATTACCGAGCTACAGAGGCTGCAACACAATTCTTCATGTTGCTTTACAAGCCATGGCCCAGCAAAAGCCAGCAGCATGAACAAGCTCAACTCTCACTGCTGGAAGCAACTCTCGAGCCAGGAGCTAAGCCAGAAATCCTTCCCCTCCGCCGTCTTTGGGAGAGGGGGGCTACTCCTATGTCTGGATCAAACGCTTTTCTTTTCAATTCACCCAGTTTCACAGAGCTGCCGCAATGCCTGAAAATAGCAGTATTTCCTCTGATTGCTGAAGGAAGCCTGCGCCAACAGTAGTAAAGTTCACTGCAAGCTACCGCCGTTTATGTTGCAACTGCACGCCCATCTCAAAAGCGGTGTGCTTAAAAAAGAAAGGAAAAAAAAAAAGAACATCAGTCAGCGTACGTGCCCGGTCTATTTCGGCTTTCCGGACGACGACTAACGTGGGAACTCTCCGAGCGCGAGAGACAACAAGAGAGATGCGACCGACTGCGGTGCCCTGTGGCCGCCGGCAAATCCAGCAACACGGTCCAATAAGCATTCGTGCATGCGTCGCTGCTTCTACGACGGCGACGCGGCCATCGCAGACAAAACGAGGCTGCGCCGACGGTCACGCTTCGTGCACGCCACGGCTGATTCCAGGCGGGCGTTTTTTCTTTCAAGCCGCAACCCCTGGAGAGAGCATTTGCCTCTTCTAGCGAAACGCCGCGAGCTCCTTGATCTGCTGCTATCGGTGCTACTCACGGGGCATCGTCCCGTAGCCTCTTCGCCGCTGCTTGGAGGCACCATGCCGAGTGCAGACGATTGTATCGCGGAGTAAATAATGAACACGCTACTATAAGCACCGCACGCAAATTGCACGTTGCCGAGCCTGAGTGCAACGGCCAAAACCTCGGGCAAGACCATGCGGAGCGAAGACGGAGCACGTGGTGGCGCCAGGGAACTGGCCCGTTGGTGGAAGAGGGAGGCGGGAACGTTCAAAATGCCCGCACCTGGCCTGGTGTGCTGATCGTGATGGCGATTCGAAGTAAGAGAACGACCGAGCTAGCCACGCTGGCAGACGGAAGGGAGACGGGCATGAATGAGAACTGCGTCGCGGGTTTGATCAAATCCGTCATCGTCAATTCCAAAACACGACTTCGCAGTGGTTTTTCATTTTGCATGTCAGCTGTGAAGTGATTTTATGTTTAGTTCAGTTTGGTGTAGATGTACCCAATCAATTATTCATAACTCTAGTTAGGAAAGGCGAGAGGGTTTGCTAAATGTTGGGTGCTCATGTGCATAGCATTTCGAAAACAATCAGAATGGCAATAAAAGGGAGGGGGGGGGGGGGGTCATGCACATTTCTAAAAGAGTAATAATGTACAGGCAGGGCACAGGCGTGCGCACGAAGATGTTGGGGAAGAGAAGGGGAGGAGGTCGACGAACGAACCCTCCTTTCTCCCCCTGCGCAGGCCCATGAATTAGTGGATAAGCAACAATTCGCTGCGCTCTCTTGAGATAATTTTCAGGAATGCAGAACAATTCTGAAGCTGGATTTCGGTGCTGCTAACCTTGCTAGCGAAGATAAAGGAGGCGCTGACCTTGCTAACGAACAACGCTATAACGTATACCCGTGTGCGCACGAAAACGGTTGGTTTGGCGCATTGAGCGTTTTCGTCACCTTACTGATTCGTGGACGTCGCGATACGCAAAATCAAGAGAGCGTTCAATCGACAACCGAAGATGGTGGCGCTCACGTGCAGAAAGAAGAAAAAAAAAGGGGGGAGGAGGGGGGGAGAGGGAGCTAGGCGCAGGCCTAGCGCACGCAACCAATCGCATCCCTCTACACCGCAGGGCAACTCGTGACCTTTCGATGGATCGTCCGCCGAGTCACTTCTCATTACGACCCTCCGATCACACCACCGGCAGACAATGGGCTCCGCATACCGGCATCAGACGTGACGGATAACGACCGCCCGGCAATCACAAAAGCAGGCTCGTTGCTGCATGCAGCGTGGCGGCGGCAGATGCCACGCGCAAACTAATGAGAGGTGAAACGGCAGTTTACTTTCTTGTGTTATACCGAAAGCACAAGCCGTACAACACAAGGCCGTCCTGTTGTTCGGCGAGAAGAAAAGGCCAAGCCAGACAAACGCAGTGAAAGTACGCGAGCGGACAGAGATAAAAGATGGACGTTAATAGTTACGGCAGTCGTCCTGTTTTTTCCTACGTGCGCATAACGCGCGGTCACGTGAACTCGTAAGCCTTAGCAGCCCTATAACTTTGACAGCAGTAACGTCATTGCGATGTTCATGAGATGACGCAATGGTACGTAGGTTAAGCAAAAAGCTCGGTCAGCAAATTTAGCTGTGCAAATCGGTGCGTCTCGCGCTCGGCTTTCGTCGTTGAAAACGCGGCCTCAGCGATTATCTCTGGCTGCACACTACCGGAACTAATCGCGGAGGACACGATACGAAAAAAAAAAAAAAACACGAAGACATTCAGAGTATAACCTACTGACAACCGTACAAATGAGGGGGTTTTGTTTATTTTTAAGGCACGAAGCATCTTCATTTATTGGTCAGTCTAACACCGAAAAAAAACATGGAATTACGGGTGTTAAGCTTATTGAACTATTCATTGGTGAGCACAAAGTCTCGCTAGCTTCCATAGCGGTGATGCACTCTATGCTTGATGCACGAAACGGAGAAACAGCGCGGAGCGCTGTAATGCGAGAGGGTATTTGCCGTCGACGGTTGATGGCCGTGCCCGATCGACCGGTGTCTAGCCAGACGGCCATCGCGAACCCGCCGTCTCTCTTGCTGGGCTCTCGTCTCGCTTCCGCTGCGCCTATTGTGCGAGACCGGATCGCGAACGCAATAAGAAACGGCAAATAATAATAACAATAAAAAAATGCTGTCCGCCGCGAGCATCCCGCACGGCACGACCTCCTCTGACAAGGTCTTGGCAGAGTCATTTATCCATGGCCTCATGCGCCACG